GTACTCAAGCAATGTCAAACCGCTTGAAGAAGCTGAAGACCTTGGCGAGTTTGCCCAGTTCTTGACCCGGTATCTTAACCAGGTGGAGAGTCTTCTACATCTCATTAGTTCATGTCGATCAGGGGACTGGGAGGGCTACTTGTCATCACTAGAAGGCCTCACCAAGTACTTTTTGCTCGTGATCTCCTGAACTATGCTCGCCTGATGCCAGTTCATCTCGCTCAAATGAATGCCCTAGAATAGGATGATCCAGAAACATGGAATGCCCTCAAGTCTGGAGACTTTGTGGTGGCAAAGTCAGAGATACCCTTTTCTCTTCTCTTCACTGATCAGGCTCTAGAGCAAGAAATCAAGAAACTAAAGGGGAATGGTGGGATGGTTGGACTCACAAGAAATGAAGCCGCTCTGGACCGACTAGTCACTACCACACCTCACCTTGCTGCTCTGGTAAATCATTACCTCAATGACTTCCCAAAAGCTACTGGAGCTTCGGTGAGGAAGGAGCATCATCAGCTCTCAGGAGACATTGCAGTGAGGTCAAAGAAGAATGCTATGAAACTACGCCACCTAATCGAGCTGCACGGCGGAGTCAATCCTTTCAAGGAGAAGACACAATTGAAGAGTCTGGTTTCATCGGCACTTGTGTCAAATGAAGCGAAAAGTGACATTCTCCACTTTGCAGAAAAGGGCCAGAAGCGCTTTGAGGAGTTTGTATCTGATCGTTTGCTTTCATCATCAACCCTCTCGGTGTGGGACAAAATGAAGAAACTGAAGCTGAAATCCTTTTCGAAATGGATGGAGAAAAGGAAAGTGCCTGTTGAAGACAAGGTCATCAAGTTGCGGGAGGAACGTAAATTGCTGGGAAGATTCCTTATCATCCAAGGCAGCCGCCCAAGCTTAGTTCCTAAACTTGCAGAAACAAAAGGTGAATATGAAATGTCAGTGGTTCCCCGTTCACTATGTGCTGTCGATGGTTCTTTGTACATCCCAACAGACAAAGCAAGTCTGATGCATGCAGTTGAAGATGCAAAGGCAGAACCTCCCGATGCTGTTAAACAGCCTGATGTCGTGGAGGATAATCATATTCAACTTCCCCACAGGTTGAAATGATGCAGGAAGAGGTTCCGGTTACCGTAGAATATGAGATAACGCAGGTTCCTTCTGGAGCAGCCCAAAAACCTAACCTCTTGCATGATCTTCCTGTCAAGGTGCTGATAATTGACGTCATGGGTGTACTTCAAGGCATGAAAAAGACACTAGCTGCCATGCAAAATATGTCAGACCTGCAGAATGCATTCAACAGGCGCATCGAAGGGATGATGGCTAGCTATGATGAAGGTCGAGTTGTGTTTGATCAATATAGGGAAGAGTCATTAAAGAACAACACTCGACAAAAGAGGGCAACTACATCAGTAGAATACGAGATACACCCAGAAATGAAGCTCACAATGTCCATCAAGGAGCTTCTATCTTCATCGTCAACCAAGAAAAAGCTGACGTGCCTGTTAGGTCAGGGGCTGCTTGATAACTTTTCACAGAACACGGACAGCCCTTTCAAGCTAGTAGTTGTGTATGATACCTTCATCAAGGGACATGATTTGGAGGAGGCGCACACACATGAAGAGGCTGATACCCTGATTCATAATCAAGTCCTTGCCTCTACTGCTAGTGGTGCCTTGCAAGAAATTACTGTCTGGTCCCCTGACACTGATGTCCTCCTTCTCTTAATTCATCTAGTATCTTGTGGAAACAATGCAGTGCCCACTTCTCTACAATTTTCTACAGGCAAGGGTACAAACGAGAAATAGATGTGCTGGAGCGGGTTCAAGTCATTGACATCAAAAATGTCAAGGCCTCCTTGGACTTCACAATTTTTCTGGTGCTGACTGGGGAGGAAGTTTGTTGGGATATCCAAGAAGACATGGATCAATGCCTACTTAAAGCTTGATGATGATGATCCTGCCATTATCTGCTTCAAAGAACTGGTGAGGGTTCCATTCCAATTGAGCTTAGCAATGGAGAGCTTCCAACACAGGTGAAGGCACTAGAGCATTTCACATGTCGTTTTTTACTGTTCATCAGGTCCAACAACCCTACCATCACTCAGATGGGAACTGTTCCGATCAAAGAACCTGGAAGGTGAGATGTTACCTCCAACTCGTGCCGCATTACTACCTCACATCCTCCGTGCTAATTACATCACGATGAGAGATAAATCATACAAGACTAACTACCCAGTGCTTCCTCCTATCGAAGAGAATAGATGGTATTCAAATAATCGAGGATGTCTTCCAGTCAAGTGTCTTGGGCTCCCTGCACCACGGGCAGTACAGTACTTGAACTCATCAAATGTGGCTGCAAAGCAGGATGCAAGGGACGGTGTAGCTGCTCCAACAACGATTTGCCCTGCACTCCTCTCTGTAAATGCTATGGTGGAGACTGTGAAAACCGGACAAGGGAGGATGCTCCAGATAGTGACAGCGATTGACTTTTACTGGAAGTCTGATGAACTTTCCTGTTGTCATGGTAACCACGAAGTAGGTGGTTACCCCTTTCCCGATTTTATTTTATGTTTTGTTTATAACTGGAAAAATGTTTCCAAATAATTCTTTGATTTAGATCAAGATTGTGTCATGTACAAGTATTTCGGACCAAAATAGCTCAACTTGTTTCTGTTATTTTTTTTTCTTCGGGGCGGGGGGGGGGGGGGGGGGGGGGACCATATCAACAAAACAAAATGCACATTTTCGTATTATTCTGCATTTGAAAAAAATATATCATATATGATTGGTCAACTTTCTGATTGACTGATGCAATTACAGTGCCTAGAAGTTGATATTTGAGAATTTTGTTATATTATCATCTGAAGGTGTTTGGCGCCATCTGGTGTTTAAGTAAGTTATTCATTTGATAGAATACTAAAATAGGGTTGATTTTTAATATTAACAGCCTAAAATAACAGTGTTAATGACATGTGATATGTTTCACAATTATTCCACTCTATAATAGTACACAATAATGCCATTTCCACTTCTTATTTCAAAATTCTAGCCCAAAAGAAAGAAGAAGGGCACATTTTTAGGAAATATTTCCCAGTTTTTCACAATTTTTCGCAAATTGCGCCCCCATAACGTCAAAGTGAAAAAGTTTTATGACACAATATCATTAAAAATGAATCCTTATATACCTCAAAAAACTTCACAGTGAAATTGGCGAAAAAATATATGAATTTAGGGTGGAAGACACCAAATTTCCCTATTGCGCTTTATATATGCAATTTTGGCGCCCAAAATGGACCCCCCAGGAAGTGAAGGAGGGGTCTGAAAATTTGAACCCCATCATTTTTGGCCAATTGGGACCCTTTTGAAGCCAAAACAGCAAAAAATTCAATTTTGGCAAAAAAATCCTACGGGATTACATACCATACCGCACTAAATATTGTGCTCCCGCGTTCCATAGCAGTCTTACAGTAGAACAAAATAATAATCTTGAAAAAATACAACGTAGAGTATGTAAGATTATTTTAGGGCCTAGTTACATTACCTATTCTAATGCATGTCAAGTATGCAATTTACCAACTCTTGAGGAGAGGAGACTAGCACTTTGTAGAAAATTCGCAAAATCTCTTTCAAATCACTCTATTTGTCAGACCTGGTTACCTAAGAAAAAAAACACTAATATCACTCTTCGCCGTATTCCCATCTATCAACAATTTCAATTCAAAACAAAAAGATTTAAAAATAGCCCACTGTCATTTCTAGTTGACATACTCAATAAAAGTTGAAGAAAAAAAAATTGTTTTATTTTGTACTTTTATCGTTATTGCAGGTGTACTAAGTGCTTGTCTCCTCCCCTCAACAGGCTGTTTAAAATGTACCCATTTTAATCTTTTTACCATGCTTGTATTGACTTTTATAGGACATTTGTAAACAATTACAGCTGTATTTCTGGAAACTTGTGCAATGTGTTTATGGATTTTAGTTACAGAATCGAAGTCTTATTTTTGATATTGCTAGTTTTTTTTACTTGTATATATTTAAAAGTGTTATCTATTGTGCTGAACATGTAAACATGAATATTCCAGCCAAGGCTGTCCTTCATGTAAAATTGTATTTGTATATGAATCATGTTTCTGCTCTAATAAAAACCATTTTTGAATTGAATTGAATTGAACATCGGCAGGGTCACTTTCGGGATAATTGGACAAACTTTATTAGTTGAATTTCGAGCAAAATTCAAAGCTATGGTGCCTATTCAATTTATATCAATGTCATTATATCATTTTGAGTCGGTTGGGGGAGGCCCGTTGCATATAGTGCTACAAAATTAATATTCAGTAGTGTTATGGCGCGGCGCATGCAGGCCCGGTTCCCTCCACTGATGCCACTTCTCTCTACCCCCTACCCCTCCCCACCCCCTCTCTCTCTCTTTAAGTCTCTCAATAGGCTTGCTCTCTCAATCATAACCATAGTTAGGAGAAACATAGCGGAATCGTTTTATATCCGCCCTTTCGCTAAGATATGAGTAAATCTATATGAGTACCCCTCTTTGGTAATCGCTTTCATTATCATGAAAATCTTGAAACCGAAATGTATAGTTTCTGTTTTCGTTCGTTAAAGAAACTGTAAATAACACGTTGCAGATTCATTCAGGATGTTGAGAAATAATCTGATTTAAGGAGGGTTATCATTTTCTATCTGATTAATGATTTTCCTCTAGGTTCCAAAACTTCAAAAGTTTTTTCTAAAGAACATGCAATGAAACGGGTTTCCCCTAAGAAAAATATCACAGTTATATATGCTACCCTAATGAGCTCGTGGCTCAAATATGCTGGGAGAGATAGCTTTAAGGAAACCTGATATTAGGGTACCATTTGTGAAACTTAGGAATATTTTTTCTCTAATATAGTGAGGCCCCTCCGCCCCTCCAAAAATCATGAAAGAAAAAAATAATTTAGCTTACTACTAGTAGTACGGTACTTTGCCAATAGCTGGCGCTGTACCCTAATTAATTAACAAATTCAGCAGCTAGGCGAAAGGCATGTCGGCCGAAAATTCAACCAAACCAGCCGGGAAAAACAAGGTTTCTGGCCTAGCAACGGCATACCTTGTCCTATACAATGTAGTTCTGTGTGCAGGGTAATGTATGAAATTCATTCATCTTTATTTGCATATGAATTGAGTATATTCCATTGATTTTGAACTGCAAACATGATGAGGTTTGGATTTGTGACTGTCTTGAAATATGCCAGTGCTGTAGTCTATGTGCGTTATTGTATGGTACGAGATCGGGACCGGGCCCGTCTGCTCGCACTGCGTGTGACTGAATGAATGAATGCCGGTGAGCTGGCTGGCTGTATGGATTAGTGCCTTGGAATGTGGTATCGTGGCCCCTGGGCCTGCATGGGCGGAGTACGTGCTTGATTAGGATTTTAAAAAAAATGCTTCTTAACTATCTGAGGAGTCATTCTGCTTTATTAAAGTCCAGGCAAAATATCAAACAAAATCATGAAAATAGAACATGCGGTCTACTTTATTGCCTGGCAATCTTGCCACTCAGATCCTATTCCGATCCTAGACTGAATTACTCTGATCCCTACTGCATGGCTGCCACTGTACTGCCCTGCCCTGCAAATCTCATCTCTAAAAAGTTAGACCTACAGGCCCTAGTCTAGGCCTATAGTATCTTCCTCGTGCCAATAAACGAGGTGCCCATTTATCCTTTCTTTTTGGCATGTTAATCCAGACATAGACCTATAAGTGCATGAGTACAACATATTTGCATCACATTAGGTAAAGAAATCTACCACCTGACTGCATGCCTGGTTACTCAGTCAGGAAACCAGGCATGCAAGTCGGACAGACATCAAACAAAAGCTTCAAAGTCATTTCATTGCACTAACATTCAGCTTGTCAGTTGTTACACCATCTCAGAATTGAACCCTATACTGCGTTCTTATCTGTAGCAAAGAATGCATCTTTGTAGGAGGAGGGAGCTTGATAGATCTATATTAAATTTATGAATGAATGATGATGATGAGACATAATGCCATGGCTTATTGCTGAAGTAGATCTATAATTAATTTCAATCTAAATGATAACCTTATTTGTACAAACATTAAAGTTTAATCTGGCAAGTATCCTCTTTTCCCAAAACATTGTGTCAACACCACAGATTAATATTAATCTCCTGAAAAATTCATGTTTAACATGTATGCTCGTCTAAGAAACATCTACCCAGAGAAGTCTTTGGGTAGTAGCTTATTTTATAAGAGCTGTCAAGTGTTAGTCATGAAACAGTGATTATGAACTTGTATTTATCTATTCAAGGGGGTTTCATGAGAACTAGTTACATCGAGAACTAAAGTCACATTAAACAAAGGAAAAACTCAGAATACAAGACTAGATCCTCGATGTAAGCTACTTTCTTTAAAATTGACTTCGACTGAGCTTTAGCCCAGTGTTGGTTGAAATTTTATTAGACTGTGGACCATGCAGAGTGTCTGAAAAAAATAAGACACCCTGTCTTTAATAATTACCACAAGTTCTTGTTTTTTTCCTGATGAAAAATTGAGAATTATCTTTAAGAAGAAGGATCAATCTCCTTTGGAATTTGACACTGCATATTACTCGTTGTATAGGTCAATGAAAGTATATTTCACTTTTGAACTAACATTTGACTGCTGTTATTTATGCAGTTTCTACCCTTCCAAATCTTTCCCTGGACCGGGGAGAGGGAAGTTTATCCAATTAAAGTAAATCTATTATTTGTTCTTATTGTTGTATAATAGATGGCTGTCTGTGGGTGCTATGGGAGTGCGTCACTATCTCCAGGAAGGTACCAATGTGGGTCTCTACGATGCCATTGAACTGCCCCTCAAGGCCTTTCAGACAGCTGCCATTCTTGAAGTAAGTACAATGACTTTTTTTAGTTAGGCCTAAACAAAAAAATGTTGTATTGCCCTTTGCAACCAGCCCAAAAATTTTGAAATCTATGGTCGGCTTTTAAAAATAGTTTTTCTTTCTTTTGTTTATTAGAAGAAAAAAATACCAGCCCAAAGAGGGACAAAAAAAAGAGAAAGATTTCTGACAGACCGACCCATGTTTTGGCACCTAAAGGGGAATACAACATTGTTTTTTTGTAGGCCTTATGATAAATTTTATGAAAAATGAAATGATCTCAGTTCTGTGTATAGGATATTCTTTTCACTTTATTGAACACAGAAAGTACCAGAACAACAGGGGATCCGTAGGGGGTCTCCCAAACACCTTGGAAATGGCCTAAGGAAAGTAAAATCATTCTCTTGGACGATTTACAACTAGGAAATGAATTAATGTTGCAAATATTTTGTCATTTATGAGATGAAGGAAGGATGATTAGTGACTTTCTTTATACTCATCATATCTGGAGAAGAACCTCTGGAAGAAGCTTGATGTGTCAACAACAAAAAGACACCTGCATCCATATAGTCTTATTACATCTTACCCTTTTGTTCAGTGAAGTGATGAGAAAATCCTTTACACAGAAGTGATAGAGCTGTCAATCTGCATTAACTTGTGATTTCCTGTTTCAAATTCTGAATTAGAAAATGTCTTTGATTAATCTATGAACCTTATCATGCCACTTTTGCTTTCATGCTCTCCCTTTAAATGGATTGAAGCCCTTGAAACCTGAAAGCTTGTCTGCCAGCATTAACTTGATGATCGACACAAGATGATAGTGCTATATTGAGGGGTCAGTGACACAAAGACGTAATTCCATTTTGGCCATTTTGAGAAAAAGTGGATTATGTGTCACTGAGCGCTTGGGCCTTAGGGAGTTAAGTCTATGTTTCACTAGCCATTGACTTCTATGGGTTGTTGGGTGGAGTTAAGTCTTTGTGTTTCTTGGAAAGCTCACATTTTTTTGAACATTTTGATATCAAATACTAATTTTGGCAAAATATGGAGTTACGTCTTTGCGTCACTGAACCCTTGATATGTTTGTTTCTCTTCTGCCTGCAGGTTGTCCATTGCATGATCGGAATCGTGCCATCCTCGGCGGTTCTGACTGCATTTCAGGTGACGTCCCGTCTGGTCCTTCTGTGGCCTGTCACCCATAGTGTAATAGAGGTAAGATACATGTGCTCTCGGTAAAGTGTTTTTAACAGTTCTACGTCACCTGCTCCAGGGACAATTGCTCTTTGGTTTAATAGTTCTCTACTCTATCTAGATTCCTAAACCTAACCTGTACCCCAATCGCAACCCTAACCTTAACATTGATAAAATATAGCCTTGAGCAGATGTCCTTGAAGTAAAAGTTGGGTCACTGCTTTTAAGTAGTATGATCATTGTTCACTGAGAACCAAAAGGGTCCTCTCAGAAATAATTTTCAAGTTTAATGTCTTCATGTGTGAAAGACTATCTTATCTCACCATACCCTGGGCAGCTTGATATATATGGGATGGCAATTATCAAATGCCAAGAAAATGATTCGGGCTCAATGGTATTATGACAATAAATAGTATATTTATAGAATCCGTCAAATTTACACTGGATGTCAAAATTTAATTTGGCTGATGCCAAAAAGTAAAATAAAAGAAGTTGATCATTAATTTCAAAGGTAAGACATCTGTATATATATATATATATATGCTCCAGGACAGCAGCTGAAGTGTATTTTTGATTTACTATACTTTACTTTGCGAGAAACACTCTGGCCAACCTAGTGTCAGTGGGCCAGGCCTTTTTCTTCTCGCTATATCAAATCCAGCAATCTGGATAGGTTTTCTTTGATTCAAGTAGATATTGTGCTTGATAAAAATGTGCATTTTGTTGTGAATCAGGGAAACCTACATTAACTAACTCTTTATGTTCTGTCTGAGGTAGGATTGATATTTCATACAGTTAACTGTGCCAAAGTCGAAAGTCGCACAAGTCAAATTTTCTCGAAATCAAATCATTTTTTTAAAAACTATATTTTGCAGTCCCAACAGATTCAACTTATGCAGGGTTTGTATAAATTTGTCTTCTGAGTTTACAAAGAAAACAGGTTGCCTTCTAATATCAGCACACATCAAACACTGTAGATTTGATTAAAAATAGGAATATTTGTTTGTCATAATCATTCACACTGCCTAACCGATTACAAACTAAAAGATGAATCGGTTATTCAGAGTGATGCCATTTTTGTTCATTCTGTATTTAGCATTCTGGGGGGCGTTTCAAGAAACCTTTTCTCAATGACAAATGACAAAAATCAGTGACAAATCTGCTGATAACCAATCAGAAGCAAGGATTTCAGTAGCTTATAACAAAAACTATCATTTGTCACTGATGACAAGTTTTGTGAAATGCCCCCCTGATCTTTGGATTTTCTCTTTGCTACAGGTTCAGAATGAGAAGAGCATTATTCTGTATCTGACGGCCTGGACCATCACCGAAGTGATTCGCTATGCATTCTATGTTTTTGCCCTGCTCAACCGTCTACCATACGTATTAATGTGGCTACGATACACCCTCTTCATTGTCCTTTACCCCATCGGCGTAACTGTGAGTATATTCATTAAAGGGATTGGGTAACTTTGTCTCAGATTCTAAAAGAAATCCTGGATTTAGCTCATGGTGCAATCATAATTATAAACCTTTAGATCATACATGTATCACATGACTTTTACAAGCCAATTGCCTGTCCGATTATCAAGATATCTATGATTGGAATTAGAAATTTCAGAATTTGTTTTCCTAAAGGTTTCTTAAAAACACTAGTCTATTGGGGAAATGAGTATAGTAAAAGCGATCACTCCTCCTCCTCCTCTTTAAGGCAACTGAATATGTACATGTCATGTGCAATTCTTTTAATTTTTCACATTGTTATTTAATAGGCAGAATTGCAATCAGGATTCTCCTGTTTGATATGGTTACCAAGTGTGTTTCACTGGTAAGAACCATGATTAGAGCTTATGGCTATTACGTTTATACTTCTACCTACCATTTTTTATTGTGTATTGTAGGGTGAGCTATGGACCATCTACCTTGCATTGCCGTACGTGAAGAGCACCGGACTGTATTCACTAGAGCTGCCAAACGACTACAACATTTCCTTTGATTATTACAGCGTCCTTATCTTCCTCATGATTCTCTATATTCCAAGTAAGTAGAAATGAACAAAATATTATTTCCCACTTAAAGATACTATGTCCCTTTTGCAGCCAATATCAACTTCTGTAGAACTTTGCAGGAATTATGAATATGTAATGTATGTCCTATCTGTGAAATTTAAACGTTAGCAGTGTCCTCATATTCAAATTATGCAAGGAAACCCGTTTATTTGCTAGACTTCTCTATCAGACACTATTGAGTGATTGACTGGCTTTTTTTCTTCTTTGGTAGTAACATACATAAAATGAGCTGTAAAGGGTACATGAGCATTTGTCTACATCAATAACCCACTTTTTGTAATGGCCAAAATTAAACTGATTGAATCTTTGTGCGGCATAAAACGTACAACTATTCGGTACAATGGTCTGAAAATCAGACTATAACTTACTGAATTGGTAGCACTTCAGTCGATTTGACAACTAATAGTCGTTATTTTCCCACTTAACGACATTTTCAAGCCCCACCCCCCCTTTTTTTAGGGAAGTTCTAAATTAGTATTATCTTTCAAATGCCTTTGGAATTTAATCTTTTCATTTGTTTGGCCTGCAAATGGGACATAGTACCTTTAATGTTACTGCTTCATAATATAACTGTCATGTTTTTCTGTTTTCCTTTCCTCTGATTCTCATATCTTTACACCTGACCCTAACAAGTAATCTTAAATATGAACACAGCACATGTGAACATCTATTCTCTCTTCCTTCACCCCATTTCTCTCGCAGTATTCCCAAGGCTGTATTCACACATGCTGAGACAGAGGAAGAAATTGATTGGAGGAGGCGCCCCAGGAACGAAGAGAGATTAACCCCACCGTAATCTTAAGTAGTTTTCTAGATTTCTAAAATTCCTTTGATTCAGATTAGGGTTTGGTTTGTCAGTGCTAGAATTCTGTGAATGACTTCCGGTCTGGAACCAATGTAATGACAGCTGCAGACCTGGGGGTGTTTCACAAATATCCTAAGTTGAACTTATCTCAAACTTGGACTTAATCAATTATGGAAAGCAGTTTGCATCTTTGAAAACATTTTGTAAAAGTGTTTTTAAAAGGCATGAAACGTTGATTCAAATCATTCATATTTTCTCTCATCTAGGAGATTTTATGTTCTTAATAATAATAATAATAATGAACGTTATTTGTATAGCGCATATCACTGACACAAAGAAAGTCCCTATGCGCTTAGAAAAGAAGGAAAAGGACGGAATAGAAATGAACATTTATGTCTGATACATGAAAATAATTAATTACAAACAACAATAATGATACACAATTCTGGCTTACATGTAATAGATTGTACATTCAGGTAAAACAAATACAAATACAAATTTAAACATGAAAAAACATGAAAATTAAATGAATGATGGGGAATTTATGAAAAGTCTAAAATATTTAAATTTTTGTCGAGTCAGGGATTCAAAACTTGATCAGCGCACTGATCCTTTTTCTGATGAAATTCCATCTCACCTATGGCTTCAAGCTATGTCTTGGGAATGAGGCATTGTAAATCCATGTTTATCGCGAGGGCTCTGATGCCCCAAGGTAGTTTTGAACCTGGGATATCCTGTACGTGTGACCACTGCCCAAACCACTGAGCCATCACAAAGACATTTGTCTTCGTGATGGTCGCATAAATTGATCACTGCATACAGTGATGTCACAGATTGTTAGCTGAAACTTTTGTTTTGGACGTACGTAGTCACCATAATTGTATGTTTGGCACACCTTTTCTGTAGACTGCACACACAATGAATCATAGCACAAAGCACTTGTTTTTATATTCCATATTCAGCTGCTTGAAATCTTTGAATGATGCCAAGAAATTTGTAAGTACAGGTTGGTGAAAGTCATGTGAAGGATAGCTAATTTGCCACATATAAACTTTGATCTTTGACCTCTGGAAGATAATTTATATCATGTTTATATCAGTGTGATCTTGCCAGAATAAAATTATTTGTTTAGCGAGGCATGTTACAAAAGGGATGCTGCAAAGTATTTTGTGGTATATGAGCTTTCATATATCATTCCTGTGATTTTAATAGTACTTGTAAACTCAAGTGTAAGTGATGTTAACTGGCTATTAGTTTCAAATATTTCTTTCTCATAAGAATAAGACTTTAAATCTGTCATTTAATATCCCTATTGCAATGTATTGTGTAAAGTCCAATACAAGAGTGCATTTAATACCAAGTGAGATCTAAACTTCACAAAACTATTATTTGTCATTCATGCGAGGATTAAAAAAAAAACACCCCATAAATTAATAATGTAACAACTCAAGCCTTGAGAAGTCCAGAATACAAAGAAAGAACTGAAGATTCCCTTTTACAATTTGCCTCTGTACCTTTGCCTTAGTGTGTGATATGGTTACCGTAATTGAGTTGTTACCATATTGTTCTTAACTTGTGTTTAATGGATTAAAAGTTCCTCTTATATTTGATTTTAATTGTCCTGAAAAATACATGTTACAGTTTATCGGGAAAGTTTGAAATCAGTTTAATTATATATCATATTAATCAAGCTTGCTGTTGCATTACAATTTTTTTTCTTTGATAAATTTATATTGTTTTTTATTTTATTTTAAGGGAGGTTGGGGAGTTTAAAGGTAAAGTTATTGTAAGACCCGAATATTCAAATTCTAAATATGAAATTGATGATGGGATGTAGATCGTGGATTTAACTATGAGAAACATTTCATTTTTTGTTGTATGAAGGAATCTGTCAACCGTAAAATTTTTACAGGGTTCACATGTTATTACACCATTTATAGTCTATTGACCCCTCTTAGCTTTTGATTTTAAAGGTATTTATATTTTCATTTGTGGAATATCTAATCAGGTTATGTTCATTGTTTTCTGTACCTATACAAAGTGCTTATTTGACAGAGGAGAAAGGAGAAAGGAAATGTAACTATATCCTAATTAATATATAATTTATTTGTCCTAATAGTATTCATACAAATTGCCAGGCTATATCATAAGTAGGAAGGCATTGTTGATTTTAAAAGCAGGAATTTAAAGAGTTGCATTTTTGTTCTGAATCAATCACAAGTTCTCCAATCAAACTAAAAAAAACTTCCCTTTTTTCTCTGGAGGGAGGGGGGCACACATGTAGGTGCCCTTGGAAAAATCATCCAGGTTTTAGGTTCACCAATATCCCATTGGAACATGTGTTAACTAAATGAATGTTTCAATGAGTTGCTGGAGAACTTGTACTTATGACAGTTTTGTAAAAACGCTGCCCTTGATACGTCACTAATCAACATGCCTACTTGAACAGGAATGTTCTGGAGTATTTCAACACATTACATAACTTGTCTACCGGTACTTTTTCTTGTCAGTGTTTGAATGTTCACCGTTTCAGTCTGGTACGTTTCGATCCGGTTTGATTCTGAAGTGACAGGTTATAGTTGTATTTTCAGAGAGGATCTAGCCATTAATACTACTTGGAATATTGAAGTGAGTGTATTCTATTCAGTTATATTAATCATACGGTTTTGAAATGTAGATTTGTCTCGTACAAAGAGAGTAAGTTTTGACACACATGTTCCTCAAGCCTAGTTAACATAAATTTTACTTGAGTTTGCGATTTAAATTCCTGGAAAAAAAAGGAAAAATTTTGATCTGGTGAATTACCATCCAGTTCCTTTTAGGAAACAACTTTTTATGAGATTTGCCCAACCAAACATTACTGGCTCTAATACTAATCATGAAACTTCACAATTTGGACATTATTATAGAGAGTACACAGCAGTAAATAAATTATTCCAATAATCCTACAAAGTGCGATGATCTGTTTTTAAGCATCACACCTATGAAATCCATTTGAGATTTTAAAAAACCTATCCGGTATTTGAACTTGGAAGGGAGTTTGTTATTTCAAATGAATGTACCTACTGGTATGCAGTAAGAAAGGAAATGAAATGACTGTTCTATGTACTATAAAGTTAAATGATAATTTAAATTTTTTGCCCAACGAAAATCATGGATTGAAATGACTTTGAAATGTGTGGTTGCAAAACCAAAATAAAGTACTTGTTTTTAATCGAAGTGATGAGTTTCATGACTGTTTCTTGTATTTTTCTTATTCACACTCAAGAGAAAATCCATTGAATGCTTCACCAAGAGCTTAATGTTGTCAGAATGCCCTTTTCTGCACACATGTTAAAATGCTTTCGGCTTGGTCATAACAAACAAAATGAGAGGCTATTTCTAGGAAACGTGTGCTTCTGTTTACCTCATATCATACCAACAGTTCGTCAATCAAACAAAGTTTCTATTCTCTAATATCACATCAACAATAAAGAGTCACAATCCACAATATTTGGTTTCTACAGTTTTATTTTCAGCACAAAACCACTGCTTTATTGATAGTCTGACCAGGGTCTACCATACCATACATAATAATATAGCACTTTTTCTTTCAATATTTACCATTATAACTAAAATACATCTATATCAATCTACACATCCATGTCTCACAACCACCACTTGGTCTCCACATTAAAGATATTTATATTTACAAATATATCACCTATAGATACATGAATAGTCTATACAGCTAATTTTCACACAAACCACTAAACATTTAGAAGAAATGTTTTAAATAGTGTGGCTTTGTTTTATAAAACCTGTGCTCTATACTTTGTAAAGCTTTGAAGGGCATCGTGAAATAACCGAGCACAAGCCATCTGAAATTTGGCAATATACAAGACGGCTGGAATCCCTGCATATTCAGGTTATTTTTGTTAGGGTAGTCCCACCAATAGCAGATTATGTTGTACATGAAGAAATATCAATAATTCTTGTAGTAATAATGAATACTGTTTACATATAATAGATTTATGTCATCATACAACTGATTAATGTATAGCCTCTCAAGAGCGGAAAGGGTAAAACCTTGTTTGCACATCACATGGTAAATGGCCTCAAATCAGGCGAGGCAAAATTTCTAGTGGGGCTAATTTCTGATGACAAAAAGCTTAAAGAGAAGGTTGAGTTCTGGGAAGAAGTAAAAAATAATTTGTGAGCGTTATCATTGTTATTATGCAAGGGTGGAAGAACATCAGATTAAACATGTTCCCTGAAAAGCATGGCTCTTCGAAGGCCTTCATATTCTAAATATGACATGAAACATCGTAAAAATCGGGGGGGGGGGGGGGGTAGGTTTTTTCGCCATGTGCTTGTGTAGTCCCATATACATAATTTTGTGTACAGTGCTTGTAACTTTGCCAAGATTTGGCCAAATTTCTTATCATTTTGATGATTCCAGAACCTTGCAATACACACGAATACTTATATACTAGATGATCAACCTTTTCTGATAGATTCCACACCGTTTCTTTCACAATGCAATCACATGACCAGAACTCAACTTTATCTTTAAAGCACTTCCCAATCCTTTTCTTATGACACACAGATATAAATGTGAGTAGATGTTCAGGGCAACTACATTTTTGGGTAACCTACTTGCCTTTAATTACCACTTTAATACAATGCTTTATGTTTTGCGGCATCAGATTTTGAGGCTTTTTATCACGTCTTGTGTAAACAAGGTTTTAAACATTCAAATATTGCACCATCTTGTATCCAAAACCCTCAATCCAATTCACAACTCTATGAGTAAGTTGGATACATATGTTTTGAATCTCGAATTAATATTTCAATCAAACATACACAGTATTTATTTGAAAGATTTCAATTTATGTATCTGTCTGAAGGTTGACGCTCATCTTCTATTCAAAACAGAAATGAATACATACTTATGCAAATACCCATCTACGTTTGAATACATATCCCCAATCCAATGTTGGCAAACATTTGAAATAATCACAACAGTTATTATTTAATTCCAATAAGCTTGTTGTTGAGTATGTATATATATATATTTTTTTTTTCTTCAACAAATTCACACTTGATGATTTGATTTTTTCCTATTTTGAAATAATTTAGCACAGCAAACCAACTTGGCAAAAACAAATTCTGACAATTTCAGTTAAAATTGCACAATCAAGTACCACAAACATAGTAACAATCATCTTAAAACTATATATTATCAAATTAAATTTCTGAATTCAAACTATGTTACCTGAAAAACCATGAAGAAAGAGATAAAGGGATCTCCTCAAATCATTTGAAGAAAAAAAAAACGCTTTTGATAATCAAGATATGAAATATTTAATGAACAAAATGTCATTTTACTGATAAAATAAAATTGATAAATCTAAATTAAAATAGTGGTGGTTATAATTTAAAATAAAAATGATTTCTAAGAGACAGTGTGAATAATGTATAATTTGCAGATTAAAAAGTTACAAATAATGCCTTCATTAATCACATGAATTGAAATTTGAGAAAATAAAACCCTGTTTTGAAATCTCTAATGATGAAAATCAAAACTATAAATTAAGTTTTATTTAAAGCGTATCTGCCATAGTTTACAGGAGGGATTAGACTGCCCTGCAAGGTCACTGGACAGGTGGTTACCTCATCAACTCAGCTCTCAGTTAACATAAGAAAAAGAGGATCATGGGGGACCAATGGTCACGATTAGGCATGGTTTGTTATATAGAGGGCGCAAGTAGCTACAAGTAATGTAGTGGGCCTTTAAATTACATCCCCTGAATGACATAAGTATACAATACAATTGTTTTTTTTTTCTTATGTATAGCTGGGGAATAAGATTTTAATAAGACTTTTGTCTTCTAACCGATTCACCAGCACTTCATGATAACTTTTGGTTGTTAATGTTTATTTTCTATTTGCTACTGTAATTCGATATGTTTTTGTATATTTGACATCCTCAATTTCTATGAATGTGTAAAATAAAAGAGCTGGACATTCCTATCACATGTTACAAATAAATTACAATAATAAACACATTTTCACGATTGCAGAATACAAATTCTATTTCGTAATATACAGCTCAACTTGGAGGGAATAATAATACACTATATATTTCAACAGCCAGATTAAGTACTTGTATTTTTAAAACACACTGAAGGCATGTAATATTCAATATCCACAATTTTATATGCCGAGAAAAAGGATGCTAATTCTGTTTAGTGTAGTCAATCATTGTGACAAACAAATCGAAAGATTTTAGTTCTCACAGTGACTTCATACAAATAAATTGAATATCACACAAGGAATAGATGCATGGGTATCATTCCTAATTTTCTATCATTTTCTAGGGTACAGATATTTTCATGTTTCTCAAAAAGGCTGTCATCATATCTGAAATGACAAATTTTATAATCGGACAATGAAAATGCAAACGCAAATTGACAACCAATTCACAAAGCATACCGGTATGTGGAAAACTCCAGAAATTACACAAAATTTAAGCTTTTATGAATATACTCAAGATTCCCTCGGATGTTCTCATGTTACAATATCTAGTAAAGTGCTGTCCAAAGTACATCATTAGATCGCAACATCTTATCTTTAAGATTGGACCATCACAGATACTGGGGGACAATCCAGTCCAATTAGACATCTTTGTTTGCATCTTATGTGTATACTTAGTTAAGCACACTTTACATTGAACAAACCAGGTAGATACTACATAAAGCAAACCTATGTACTCTTTAGATATTCAGGGACATGTCATCTACTGTTAAAAACCAGGAAAACAATGGAATGAACGAGGAAAAGAAACAAATCTTGAAACTTGATGTTTAAAAAGAGAAAGATTACTTAAGATTTCACACAGAATACCACAGTACTACTGGGATTATCTTCATATAATTGTAAACATACATGTATACCTATGTATATTTATAGAATAGATTAGTTTATAATTTGACGAGAGCAAAAAGGGCGTTAAATAGCATTATCGCCCTTCTGGCTCTCGGCAGATAAATACATGAAAGACTAAAAGACAAGTTTTAGAAAAGCAAATAAACACAGCAAACTCATACTTTCATTCACAGACTTCACAGCACACAAAAAAAGATGAACTTCCATTAAAATACATCCACACTGATTTACTTCTCACTTTTCTACTTATATTGGCAGTGTTATCTGGATGTCTGATATTTAAACATTTCTTTTTAATTATCATTAGTGCACCTAAATAGATACTAAAATGAAATTCAAAATGGTGATGGACTAAAAAATTCCTCTGTGATAACTATAACGGTAATAATAACAATATTTGATGTTTATATAGCACACATATCTACTTTGGAAGGTACTCAAATGACTTTAATATTACCACCATTCTAGCTTTGCTACAAATATGGGTTCTCATAGCATTCAAGGAATCCAAATATCTAGTAAACTGCTAAAGGGGTCATTTACATGACAGAAAATCTAGAAATTTTAGGGGTGGTATTCTCGAAAGCGGACCAACTTTAGTCCATGGTTTAATCCACCGACTAAGTATGGAATGCCAAGTGTCCATATGAATATATTTTTGAATAATTTGATGTGTCCCTAAATTACCATGATAACATAATTATATCATAGTTACATTGTCATTTATTTATTATGTTATTACATTTTGTTTTAATTTAGTGAAAGATTAAATTATTCAAAAACATATTCATATGGACACTTGGCATTCAATACTTAGTCGGTGGATTAAACCATGGACTAAAGTAAGTCCGCTTTGCAAGAATACCACCCGTGGCTATAGATGGCAGTTCTCCTGAAAGTATCCAATTTGGCCATCCCTGAATACAATCATTTCGAAATACATCAAAACAATCTACAACAACATAAATTATCCAGTACTTGTGCTCAAAATAAATAGATAACAATTAGTACATGGCAAGAGTACAATATATCAACAAGAATACATTTGAACAAGAAACGGAATACAACATTTCTTTTGCTAAAAATATATAATTACTAACTATAACTACTTGAACACTCTCAGTGCCAGCAGAAATGCAATTGGTAGTGCATTGTGCGTGCCTCTGACTTTACTAGAGTTAATTAGGCTTCGATTAAAACTTGAATAGTCGTGGTGCAGAAGGAGAATCATTATCACTTTTAAAGCCACCTAATTGTCCCCGTACACCCAGGCTAGGCCAATGTGCTATCAAATATACCATTATAAATGACTACATTTGGGTGGGGTCACATCAATAGGCTAGTAACAGCTAAAAAGCTAAACAATCGCATCATACCTGCACTAATACATATCACACTTCTCATATACCTCTGACACTAATCGATGCCCTGCACACGGTCTTGACCGCAAGCTCATTTATTGACGTACTCGTAGTCTTCCAAGTTCGTCTGGTTCATCATGGACTGGTGGTAACGCCCTCTGGAGGCGAAGTCCTCGTTATCCTCCGTCAGCTGCTCCGTGGTCATCTTGGGAGCAAAGTTCTGGGACGGTACGACCATGTGCTCTGTGGTGGGGGATGACCGTCTAGCAAAATGGGGACGAAAAAAAGATGGTTGTGATGGAGGTTTTAAGCAGAATTTAGTACAAATCGATGGCTATTCATTTTATATACCCTCCTTACAGGCCTATCTGCCCTAGCGAGGATTGTCTGTATCTAAACAACCACTACTTTTCTTATTTCACTCGAGTGGTCTTTTACATGTAGGCTCTTTCCTTTGATATAGATGTACGTCCTTCCGTATATGTGTTCAGGACATGCATTTTTACATCGTTCCTTCCCTCTCCTCCCCGTAAAAAAGGAAGAAGAAAGAAGAAACTAGAGGAGAATAACTGCCTTCACAGAAACTTTATGACAAGCAATACTACTCCACCAATTCAAAATCTATGCAGGTTAATCCCTACTCAGATTGTACCATTTTATGCAATTAAAAAAAACCTATCTTAAACTTGTAGCTATTGCTATAGTTATCAGTCACATGAGACAGTTTATGGAATATATATTAAAAGAATAGATTTGGTTTAATAAACGCTGTACCTCCCAGACGGTGAGACCACTTCTCCCATATTCTTGATGCACTCTATGCTCCTTACTTAGCATATACATTGTACCAACCAAACTACTCTTTTTTTACTACCAAGAATCTCCCTCACACTTTTACACATCGCAGCAAAATCATTTGGTTCAGCTAAACCTGCATGCATTTCGGATCAATTGTATTAAAGGTAAAGACCAGTTTTGGTCATGCGATTGCATTGTGAAAGAAACGTTGCGGAATCGATCAGAAAAGGTTAATCATCTAGCATATAAGTATTGGTGTGTACTGCAAGGTTCTGGAATCATCAAAATGATAAGAAATTTGGCCCAGTGTTCGTAAAGTTACAAGCACTGTACTGTACAGAAAGATGTATATGGGACTATATGCACACGTGCACGACACATGCGTTTATCTCGCACAGACCATGTAGATAAACTAATTTACCAAATATATCAATTAGTAGGCGGCTTCCCGGCAAAATTGTTATCATCATGTATTAGTCAAATGATTGGTAATAAGAGCTTCCATTTCATTTTTTTGAATTGGGGCGTTTCCAATACTGGTCTTTACCTTTAAAAGCAATGTATCGCTGAGGAAATTTTTGTTTTTACATATTTTTGGCCAAAATTTTTAAACATATTTTTTTGACCAAAAAAAGGACAATCGATATGAATATGCAAAAATCTATAATATTAAAAGGTCAAATTTCAGATATAGGGAAATGAATGTACGTCCTTCTAACACTTTTGGGGCTGAGCGCACATCATAACAATATATATTGAAAGGACAATTGCAAGAACACATTTGCATTGAATCTACTATACAGGGAGACCATACAGTATGCTATTTGGCAACCCCCTGCCATTATCATTAGTGAGTAACGGTATGTATATGACCCCTTGTATGTATGTGTAGATTCAGTGATGTTATGAACTTTTTATAACAATGACAATGACAATTTGTTTTTGATCACATATAAGATTTTAATTTGTCCAATACCTAATAATCAGTTAAAGCTTTACAACATATAAAATAGTGTTAAATTGACTGATATACATAATCTTTAGGAATATGTACACTGTATAGTTTAGGAATACTTGAGAAATGTAAATATATTTTGAAACAACAATATAATAAATAATAAATACCTTCTCACGAATTGCACAGTATTCGTATTGATAATTTCAGTTAAAAGCAGATAAATCTACAGGGCATTCTCAATATGCCCCTGGAGAAAATGTTTCATTGATGATAACAGTAAAAAAGGCAACTATATTGAATATTGCAGCTCTCATATACAAATAAATCAAATAAATTGATCCTATGGTTATGGTTATATCGTAACACTTTATGAGAGTCTATTCTATTCTTAAATTGAACCTTTGTAAAACAGCTAAAAGGGTCATTGCACATTTTCTGCTTGTCTATGAGTGGAATTTGAACTAAATTGTGATAGGATTACATATGGAATTTTAAAGACATAAATACTTTCTAAATTCTAATTTATAATATGAATATCAATAATGAAAATGCATGGAATTTTAAGCATTCTAGCCCATGGAAAAGCTACATCGTAATGTGACGTCACTACTAAGGTAGGAGCCAAAAGAAATTTTCTTTTGATTGTACAGTGTACATTTGATAATGTTTTACATGACAATTACAGCTTCAGTCAGAAAGAATTTATAATTTTAAATTCCATCTATATCGATGATATTCCAAATCCAGTCGTATTGAAGTCGTAAGATTCTTGGTGGTGTTTACATAAACAAAGTACAATCATATAATTACGCACTGCCATCATGAAGCCATATTTCTGTCGTAATACGGATAAGGCAGCAATAAAGAAACTTGAGAGCAGCTTGATGGTAGGTTGGGTGATGAGCCCATTTATTTGTTGATCATCATCATCGCATAAAGAAAACCCTGCAAATCAATCAGATGTGCCAAACATAAATACAAGACAAGTATAGATTCTTATCAACATATATCTGATTCATAGTATACAACAATGTGGGCGAGATAAACAGACAGTAAATTATCACGCTGTTGGTTTACATTACATAAACTGTGGCATTAATGTATTCTACATCAATGATAATATAATAATTAAGACAATATCATTGTCTTTAATTAACACATATTATATGAAAGTACATATTCAAAATGCATTAATAAACAACATTATACCAATTAAACAATGTGTGTATTAAATCATATCCTACCCAAGGTCTCTGAAGCAACAAGCCGGAGCAGCTCCCGGCTCCCAAAAGACAACACATGCAGTCCCAGCTAGACCACACTATTAAAGACAGCTCCCAGCAAACCTCGCTAGCATGTCATCTATAACAAATCGTTAAAACATCCTTATAGTATACTAATAACACATTACATAAAGTAACTCATCAATTAAATTATCATACAAAGATTCCATGGGCGCCGCCATCTTTATCACAATATTAATACCATTCGCCCTCAACGGCGAAATCATTACAATCAATTATTCACGCACTAAATACAGGTAGGCGTTAACCACTAACCATTTAAATGACAATTTATCTAAACATCATATAGAATAAATGTAATAACATTTATTTAAACAATCAATGTAATTTGATTAACTGGATACCATATCCCTATGAAGACATACTATTCTGAGTAACGAAAGTTGTCAAGTACAAAATCAAATACATTCCTCTTCCAAAATAATCCTTATTTTCCTCTCCTGAAGAACATAAAAACATTTCATAGACATGTATCAAAGCTTACAATCTTTACTATCAAAGTGACATTTAAAGAAAACAACTTACTTCGTTCAAAGGTGTAAAATGTAACAAGGGCGTTGCACACTAATAGACAGCCCGACACACGCACCACCTCCTTCGCCCGTGGCAAGATGCAATGTGTGCCTACGTATCTGCTATGTCAGGCAGATTCCCGCGCCCACATATAAAGACCTATCACAATTCTATAAACAAAATATCCTTCCTCTTTTTGCTATTCTTGTACAAACACCTTTTGAATAAAGTAAAATTAAGTTATTACACATTATATGCAATCTTATTCCTTTTTTACATAGACTCACAATATAACAATTCTTCCTCAAGATACCAAAACAAACTTATAAATCGAGGAACTACATTTCATTCACCGTATTTTTAAACGGCAGTTTTATGCAAATTATACAAAGTCATTTGCATAAGAAAAACACGTATAAATCCAATTTCCTACATTTTCCCCGCTTGGGAATCTTTTGCCCACAAAAGAATAAAATGAATTACAGGTAAATTTCAAATTCATCTCTGTTTACAAACATACTTGTATATGATATACATTATTATAAATTGTTTTACATATGTTATACACATACCAGTTTTGTTTATATATACATGTAGTTTACATTCCAAAACACTCTTAATACAATTTGTTGCACTCAGATGACCTGGAAATAATCTGTAATCCAACATTAATACCTGTATGCAAACATCTGATAAAACGATATTCTTTTTTATGCATTTACACATACAAATTTAAATGCCAATAGAATAAGCATACATATGCAAAGTATCATCAAAACAGTAATTTTCTTCTCTTCTTCTCACATATATATACCCGAAAGTTGACATTCGTTGTTTCAATACTCCATATTCATCAACTCCACAAAATACATAAGGTATTGAATTTGAACACAAACATTTCAGCAAATAGGAAATAGGAAATAGGAAAGGGTAGAATATATATAAACAGGTCCAAGCTCTTCCCCGCTTGTTTCAGGATACACACTTCCAACTCACAACAATGCGCTACCTTATCGACGATCTGGGTAGTTGGTGAGGATTACTGTGCGTTCCCTTTGATGATCTACTTGATCGCCTTGGATTAGGTATTTCCTGATTGACAGTTACTTGTGAATCTTCTATTTCAGTTTGACCATCGTATATCCATTGAAAGTCATTCTGATCATCCTCATCACTACTGTCATCATCTTCATCACTACTTGAGTCACTTTCTTTGACATCGTTCTCATGATAGTTGTCAATATCGTCTCTGCCATCATCTGGTAGTACTTCATCTAGTTCATTTACTTCTGCTCGAGGATCCAAAATCAACCTTCTACGATTCACCCATTTAGGTGATCCTCCCATGGTAGGTCGTATCTTGAAGAGATCATTCTCATCATTCTTCTCGACAATAACGTAAGGTATCTCATAGAATTTGTCTTCTAGCTTGTGTCTCTCAGTGAAAGCATTTCTCTTCAGGAGCACTCTATCACCAACTTCCAATGCAGGATTAGTGACGTGATCATCTTGCGCTCTTGCTGCCTTATCAGCTGCTTCACTCAGTCTATCTGAAACAATCTGGTAGGCCCTGTCGATCAAGTCTGCTTGTGTCTGGACATAGTCTTGTTCCCATTCATTGGACACATGGTTCAAAAGTTGATCAATGGGTAGGGTCGGCTTCCTAGCAAACATCAAAAAGTAAGGTGAGACCCTGGTTACCTTATGAGGGGTGGTATTGTAGATGTAGACAATATGCTGCAAAAGTTCTGGCCATCGACGTCGTTCCCCTGGTTCTAGAGATCGAATCAGCCCACACAACGTCTTGTTAAAACGCTCGCACTGACCATTACCAGCAGGGTGGTACGCTGTAGTACGTGATTTCTTCATACCGTACAACTTGCAAAGTTCCAGAATAATCGCATTCTCGAAAGACCTTCCTTGGTCAGAATGGATTCTTCCGGGAATTCCATAATGTGTAAACCAGGAATCACGCAAAGTCTTGGCCACTGTCAACGCTGTCTGATCCCTGCAGGGCACTGCTTGGCAATACTTGCTAAATACATCCGTGATTACTAACACATCCTCGTAACCACCTCTGCCCTTATCCAGCTTCAGAAAGTCAACAGCTACTATCTCCTGGGGCCGAAATGCAAGTAGATGCCTTTGGGGAGGGCAGATAGCTGGCGTAGGTACCTTTGACATAGTACATCTATAACACTTCTTGATGTAAAGTCTTACTTCCCCACTCATTCCTGGCCAATAGCATCTGTCTCTCAGTAGGTTCACTGTTCTGTCCACTCCTTGGTGGCCCCATCTGTCATGAGTCAAATTCAGCATGGTTTCTCTCAACACTTGGGGTACTAACAGCTGTCGTACCTTGCCAAGAATGGCATCATCCACCTCCCTATACAAGACCCCTCGATATTCTCGATATCGTGACCACTGTCTCAGCCATCCAGATAAACACGGCATCGAGGTATCGAAGTCCTGACCAGGCATCCATCCCTTCTTCCACAAACGCGAGACCTCTTGCAGAACTTCATCTTTCTCTTGGAGATCCGCAAGCTCAGCATAGCTGTAAGAGGGCAATACATTGACACTGTGCTCTTCACTAACCCTTCTCACCTCAATCTTCTGACATCCTCTCAAAGAAGATTGATCATCCTTGGGTAGCTCCGTAGAACATGTCACCTCACTTAGCACTGATGCGACTTCTGCACTCGACATGTCTTCTGGTCTCCTACTAAGAGCATCAGCGCATCGGTTACTCTTACCCGACCTGTACTTCACCTCTATATCAAAGGGTGCCAGTTGTGCGACCCATCTGGACTCAGTGGCTCCTAACTTCGCTGAGTTTAAATGCGCCAAAGGGTTGTTATCTGTCAACACAGTACAGTGAGCTCCCATGAGATAGGGTGCAAACTTTTCCGTCACAGCCCATTTAAGGGCAAGTAGTTCAAGTTTGAAACTGCTCAAGTCTGCATAGTTCTTCTCTGCCCCTCGCAAACTCCTGCTTGCGTATGCGATAGGATGGGGTCGACCATCATCTCTTTTCTGAAGTAAGCATGCCCCTAAGCCTTTCAGGGAAGCATCCGTCTCCACGATGAAGTCCTTGTCAAACTTGGGGTAGGTAAGCACTGGGGCACTAGTAAGTTGCGACTTCAAACTTACAAATGCATCTTCTTGTTCTTGTCCCCACTCGAAGTCTGTCTTGCTGCTTTTCCCTTTCAGAGCAACCTTATGCAGAGGACCAGCCATGTGAGAGAATCCTTCCATGAAGCGACGATAATAGGATGCTAATCCTAAGAACGAGCTAACTTCCTTGCCATTCTTGGGTCGTGGCCACTCCTGAACTTTATTCACCTTTTCAGGATCTACCCTGACTCCTTCACTTGTTACTACATGTCCAAGGTACTTGACCTCTTGGTGGAAGAATTCACACTTCTTGCCTTTCACCTTGAGTCCGTTCTCTTCAAGTCGTGTTAAGACCAAGTCCAACCTCTCCAAATGCTGCTCAAGAGTAGAAGAGAACACCAAAATATCATCCAGATACAATATAACTTGGCTAAGATTAAGATCTCCCAGAATATACTCCATCGTTCTCTGAAATGTACCTGGACTATTACAAAGTCCTTGGGGCATCCTGGTAAACTCGAAAAGTCCCCAAGGAACTCGGAAAGCCGTCTTGTCCACTGATGCAGGGTCCATCACTACTTGGAAGTAGCCATGTGCTAAATCCATTGTGGAGAAATACTTGGCATCTGTCAGTGCATCCAAAGTTTCCTCTATCCTAGGTAATGGAAACGAATCTCTTACAGTGCGTTCATTAACCTTCCTGTAATCAATGCATAATCTGAGTGATCCATCCTTCTTCTTCACAAGAACAATGGGGCTTGCATACGGACTTTTTGATGGGCGGATTATCCCTTGATCCAACATCTCCTGGAGCATCTTCTTGACATCATTGACCAACGTTGGGGGTATGCGCCTGTAAGGGAGCCTAATCGCAGGTCCTTCAGTCATCTGTATCACGTGAGGCACAACACTGCATTCCCCTAAATCAAAGCTTCCTGATGAAAACACTGTAGCATGCTTGTCGAGCAACTGTGTCACCAACATCTTAGCTTCGCTGGAAAGTCCGTCCAACTTGACTCCAGTAGGAAGATCCGGAAGACCGTCATCTGTTTCCTTAATGTCAATATCCGACATTACACTTTCAGATACCTTGTCATCTTCTGCTTCTTCTGCAACCACATCACGAACAGAAACCAATATCTTGTCCTCCTCAAGGTCAAGACAAACCTCTTTCCTTCTTTGGACCATTACTGCTTCTGCTACCTGAGTGTGAGATGGTAAATGAATAATGTTCTCCGATCTGTTAGCCAGCAGCACTTCCACTAATTTCCCATCAGGTTCTTGGCACCCTTCTATTGCATTGATTGCGTAGACTGGGCGTGTTGCATCTCTCACCAATATCTCTCCTATTGAATGACCATCTGTCTCTATTTGACACCTTACCCTTCTTATGCTAAAGGGTTGAAGAACTTCAACACACCCAGTCTGTACAGGGATAGGTGAGCAGGAGGCCGCTGTTCTCTCATTCACTTTCTGCTTCGCAGACTTCAGAACATCGATTAACCCTGACGGACCGATAGTGTCAAAGATATTACACCCTATCAGGACAGGATACTCCGGTGTAGTAGCCGTAGCATTGTGGCATGCCCTGTCCGCTGCAATCATAAAACTTCCAAGGAGGGAATATCCTTCCAGGTGTATTGGGACTTCGATGTAGCCCTCAATTGGGATATCTATCCCACCGATTCCCACGATATCTAGAAATAGTCCAGACATTGAGTGCAGCTCCCCCAGATGTACCTTCAGCTGTTCATGGTATACCGAAGCGGGTATTATGGATGTTTCCGCTCCCGAGTCTAATACACATCCTATGTCCAAGCCCCCGATGGTCACTACCGACTTTGGACTTCGTGATACAAGTCTCTTTATCAATGGATCTACTGACCCCTCCTTCTGACCTTGGATCAAACTGATGTTTGCTTGAGAGTTCTCTCGGGTATTCTCTGTACTCTTGTTTAAGGGACAGTCCTTCTTAAGATGCCCAGGCATCTTGCAAGAAAAGCACCTTCTGCTAGATGAACAATCATTCCTGTGATGGCCCTTCTCACCACAGTTGTAGCAAATGAGCTTTCTTCCTTGCCATTCCTTCTGTCCACCACTGTATTCCTTCTGTCCACCACTGTTCCTTTGTAAATTCTTTACAGCCTCTACTAATTCACTCACTTGTCTCGTTAAAGAAGATAGGTCGTCCTTCAGTTCTCTGACTTCATTTCTCTCTGTAGTTGAGGGGGTTGCCACCAGTGCTTCCTGGACTTTCACTTTTGTTGAAGGCTCCTGATCCCTGAAAAGATCTAACACTTCCTCACGCATTTCCAGGAATTTTTTTCCTTTAGAGGCCATCTCTATTCGTCGCAGTTCTCTCTTTATCCCGGTGTCTCTCACTCCCCGTACAAAGTTTTCCTTTAGAGAACTGTCGCGAAGAAGCTCAAGGGCCCTCCTCTCATCTGTAGAGGAGGCTGCCTTTTCCATGCGTGAATACAGTCTCATCAATACACGACTATAATCAGCAAGACCTTCACCTTCTCTCTGGATTCTTGTGTGAAATTCAGCACTCAGTGACTGAACAGATTCTGCAGGTCCAAACAGTGAATTTAGCACATCCACTAGCTGATCAAAGTCCTCTCTTACTGACAGATCCCTACACAGAACTTCTTCCTTCACGACACCGACAAGATGATCGATCAAAGCTTGAGCCTTGTCTTTCCCTTCAAGCCTGTACCTCTTGGCATAAACAGCAAAATCATCCAGCCATTCCTTTAATGAAGGTTCCCCTGGGGCTCTTGGTGGACCTTTAAACTTTTGAAGTTTAATTTTTGGTGCAGGAGTTGTCTGTCGTAGAGCTAGTCCTTGCATGACACCTGTCAACGCCTGCAGCATCTCTGCCATACTCGTATCTTCAGCCATCGTTACAAGGGCTAAATGAAACTAAAACTGCAAGTACAAGTTAGTAAACAATTGGCAATAATTATATTTATTGGCAATAATGACTGTGTTTACAACTAAACTTACACCAATACTTGGAACTGCAACAAATTAATATTGAATGCAAAAAAACAACTTTGACTCGTTAAAGTCCTGTGACACTCCAAGTGTCTTTCTTGACCAAGGGGTTTTTCTCCTTCAGCTGATGAACTCAGTCGTAGCATCTGCGATAATCTGCGATGATCCACAAACATCCGTATCCAGAGCTGCCAACATTTGATTTGGGTAATCAGGGAGATTTCTGAGAGAGCAGCATCGAACGACTTCATTGTTGGCGGGAACCAAGAATGGCCTTTTAGTGCCCCTGGTGGGGGGGGGGGGGGGGCAGGGGGCAGGCCCCCAAAAGCTCTTGGTTTTAAGCCTCTTTGAAACCCTTTTAGAACACATTTTTTCAATGATTTCTCAAAATGGAAGGCTTTGATATGGCACATTTTATTTGCATACAATTGATAACATATGAACTTCACATCATATTTCAGACTATGAACTCCTGTTACCTCTATTGTGAAATGGGGGATGTACTTGTGGAAGGCAAGGACTGGGGTGTGCTTGAGGGTTTTCCTTGAAGTGACTGGTAGGTTGCTTGCTTGAGTTTGCTAAGGAGGTCCTTGCTATACTCCCTTTGGTAGCATGGGACATCTGTGTTGGCAATTTTCTCTGTTAGGAGTGCTTGAAGTGTTTTCAAATTCATTGATCCCCTGAAATCAGTTTTGTTCTTCCTAACAATGCTAAAAACTCTTTCACATGAAGCATTGGAATGTGGTATCACAAGCAAAGATTTCATCACTTTGCTCAGAAGTGTGTATTTCTTTGAGCCATTGCCATCCTCCATCTTTGAAATTGCAGACCATTTCTTGTCTATTCTCAAGTTTTTGTTCAGGATCTCTGGTTCCCCTGAAAAGTCTTCAACCTGGTATTGTGCAAATTCCAGCTCAAGCTTGTCCAGGTCTCCATTCTCTGATTGTCTGTTCAAAATGCAAGGGTACTTTTCAACAAAGTATTGCACAGATGAAAATGACACATCTCTTCTGGAACTGACATCAATCACTTCAGCCTCCTTAAGGAACTTAACATCTAGTGGCCAGGTTTTCAAGGCATAGTCACATGCTGATTCATAATACTTCCTCACCGACAAGTAGAAGTATGTCAAATCAGCATCAAATCAGATGGAGATATCTGCGCCGCAAACTGTACAAAATGCGTAGTATTCGCCTTTCGTAGATTTCCCAACACAAGGCCATTCCAAGTGGTAGTCATCTTTATATTTCTGATAATATTTCGACTTCGACATTGTCCTGGATGATATTTTAATACTCAAACAGAGAGCAAAATACAGCCTTGTTTTGGACAAAGTTGACTTACGCCTTCGGAAGATGCAAGTTATATCGATGCGTTCCCAACGGCAAAGGAGATCAGAAAAAAAAAGTCGGCTTCAAAATCCACTCTGCAGTAACACTGCCATGTTGGTATCAAATGATAATCCACTTAAAAATCACATCGCAAAAGTCCCCAAATCAATCCAAAAACTGATGTTGAAATGTGCAGTTTTTTGGGCCGATCGCAGCAGACAAAGTCTGCTTGTTGTATCAGTGCAACTTCTGGCTGCTCTGACGCGACCGATCGGAAACCGGCACCAACGTACCGGGACGCTACGGGGGCCGGCGAGGAAGCCGCCCGGCAGAGCAAGCAGGCGAATTGCTATCACACAAACACCACTCACATTATCACATGTTCCCAATGGTTTGTTAGATTAGCCCGCCAGTCGTTCGGCGTAACTCTCATTTATTACGCTGTTAAATAAAGTACGATATCACGGTAAATTTATATTCGACGACTGGATAACAGGAAAATTCATATTACAGAATTGCCGTGTGTTTGTATACGTACGTACGAACTCAACATGCTAGTCTTGTGAAACAGTCGTTTATGAAAATAATACAACTTAAAATCTGGAAATCCGGGAGATTTTTGCATGGGGTCGGGAAAACGGGATATTGGGTCAAAATCCGGGAGTCTCCCGCAGGATCCGGGAGACTTGGCAGCTCTGCGTATCCCATCCTCGTCGCCATTTGTCGTAATACGGATAAGGCAGCAATAAAGAAACTTGAGAGCAGCTTGATGGTAGGTTGGGTGATGAGCCCATTTATTTGTTGATCATCATCATCGCATAAAGAAAACCCTGCAAATCAATCAGATGTGCCAAACATAAATACAAGACAAGTATAGATTCTTATCAACATATATCTGATTCATAGTATACAACAATGTGGGCGAGATAAACAGACAGTAAATTATCACGCTGTTGGTTTACATTACATAAACTGTGGCATTAATGTATTCTACATCAATGATAATATAATAATTAAGACAATATCATTGTCTTTAATTAACACATATTATATGAAAGTACATATTCAAAATGCATTAATAAACAACATTATACCAATTAAACAATGTGTGTATTAAATCATATCCTACCCAAGGTCTCTGAAGCAACAAGCCGGAGCAGCTCCCGGCTCCCAAAAGACAACACATGCAGTCCCAGCTAGACCACACTATTAAAGACAGCTCCCAGCAAACCTCGCTAGCATGTCATCTATAACAAATCGTTAAAACATCCTTATAGTATACTAATAACACATTACATAAAGTAACTCATCAATTAAATTATCATACAAAGATTCCATGGGCGCCGCCATCTTTATCACAATATTAATACCATTCGCCCTCAACGGCGAAATCATTACAATCAATTATTCACGCACTAAATACAGGTAGGCGTTAACCACTAACCATTTAAATGACAATTTATCTAAACATCATATAGAATAAATGTAATAACATTTATTTAAACAATCAATGTAATTTGATTAACTGGATACCATATCCCTATGAAGACATACTATTCTGAGTAACGAAAGTTGTCAAGTACAAAATCAAATACATTCCTCTTCCAAAATAATCCTTATTTTCCTCTCCTGAAGAACATAAAAACATTTCATAGACATGTATCAAAGCTTACAATCTTTACTATCAAAGTGACATTTAAAGAAAACAACTTACTTCGTTCAAAGGTGTAAAATGTAACAAGGGCGTTGCACACTAATAGACAGCCCGACACACGCACCACCTCCTTCGCCCGTGGCAAGATGCAATGTGTGCCTACGTATCTGCTATGTCAGGCAGATTCCCGCGCCCACATATAAAGACCTATCACAATTCTATAAACAAAATATCCTTCCTCTTTTTGCTATTCTTGTACAAACACCTTTTGAATAAAGTAAAATTAAGTTATTACACATTATATGCAATCTTATTCCTTTTTTACATAGACTCACAATATAACAATTCTTCCTCAAGATACCAAAACAAACTTATAAATCGAGGAACTACATTTCATTCACCGTATTTTTAAACGGCAGTTTTATGCAAATTATACAAAGTCATTTGCATAAGAAAAACACGTATAAATCCAATTTCCTACATTTCATCCCATAAGTAGTAAAACATATGATTTCAGAAAGTTGCAGCCACTGGAAGGAATGCTTGAGTATTAACGCAGAATACATTAATTATCAACACTAATATACTAGAAAGAAACGCTACATACACAACATTTGGCACTTGATAGAGACAGAAGTGGTGGAGAGAAAGAGAGAGAGAGAACACACACACACACACACACACACACATGCACAGAAAGAGACAGAGAGACAGACAGAGACAGACAGAAAGACAGACAGAGAGAGAGAAAGAAAGAGAGAAGATAAACAGAAACACAGAAAAGGAAAGAAAAGAGAGAAACATTAATGCACATAAAAAGACAGTCAAACTGGAAATAAAAGTTACTTTACTAACTTTCTGAAATCAACTAGGGTTAATAACTTTAAATAAACATCACTAAATATATAATAATGAGTTGAGCTTCAGAAATGGAAAAATCACCCAGTCTTATTTGAATGTTGTGTCATAACAACTTGAATTTCAGACCTGTAAAAAATAACAAGTCAATAATTTCATGAGATACATCAGGCTATATAAATTGGTGAAAATTACAAATTAGACAAAATTCACTCTTTCCCAACACTGAAAAGTCCCAAGCTGAAAAGATAACCAGTTGTGATATCTAAAAGTAATAACTTCAAAGACAAATTTGGGTCACAATGGACAGAAAGACTATCTATTTATTTGAAATACATAAATCTATGTTTTTGATGGGATCTTATTTAAGTAAAGTTAGAACGAGCAAAAAATCACATGCTGGGCTTATGCTCTCTTTCCGTGTCTACGAGTAAAGGTTGATTCTCCGCGCTCTTCAATATCTCTATGTTCCTCTTTGACTTCATCAAATTGGCAGCATTGTCTTGGACGGAAAACTCTTCATCTGATTCACCCCCGAGGGCCTGAATGGCCGACATGGGCTGGTCCTCCACAAAGTTGTTGCCGGCGACGACGGACGAGTGATGGAATCGACGACGGTCAGCGAAATCTTCATTATCCCGGTTTACGCTAGATTCCTCCATCCCCATGTCTTCTGGAAACGGAGCAAGGATCATTTGCTCGGGAGGCGGCGGTTTTTTCCTAAGGAATAACATTGGTGATGGACTTGGTCATGCCTCTTATATTTCACAATTTCAAAAAAAGTTGTATCCCTCCCTCTTTCTTTTCTTTTGTGTCTTCATAAAGAAATTCTTTGAGAAAGTTTTTATTAATATGCCTTAAATTACACATTAGCTTTTAAGAAATAGAATGTACTGTAATTTAAATTCTAGCACATACTATAAAAATGGATTTGGTCCTTTGTCTATAACTGACACTTTTCAAAAGTTTTCTGTTTTGCATTCATGAAGAAGGTCTCTATAAAAACGCAATGATGAGATGCCCTAAATTATAAAAGTATTATTATAGTACTTATAATATTACATAACAATAAACTTTAAATGAGTGGAGGGTTCACATCAGTATAACACATCAATGAAATACCAAAATTTAACTTTATATAAACATGGGCATCTATCTTTACCCTAACTATTTGTGTCAGAACTAAAATCAAGAGAGTTATAGAACTATGTGAGTAAGAGTATGTTTTATAAACGTATTCATTTGTAAGTATTATAGAGGAAACATGAGCATCTTTCTATTGCTTTATTTTTGAAGTTTTAGTATATTTGTACTGCACCATCATGAAAAGTAGCTATATCTATAAAATGATCCACAATATATAATGAAAATTGTTTGATAAATTGTGTCTATTTCTACGCTTTCTTGAGAAAAGATTGTTTTTTTTTGGGGGGGGGGCCCATCACCAATGAAACCATCTAATGAGGAACTATGTTTTCAAACTACGAAGAAAAAGTGCAACTACTTCTAATTCTATACTTCTACTAGGATAAAATAAAACTGGATAAGGGGAAAAGAACAAATTGATAAACCCATCACCGTTAAATCAATGCATCTGCCCACCACCACTTGAAGTGCGTTGCTGCGAATGCTGTGTTGACACTAGATGAGTGAAGCTCTGTCCATTTTATGATGGATGTTTTAATATGCGTTGTTGATGCGGTGCTCCGTCCATCGTAAGGCTTTCTCACGCAAAAAAACATTTACTGGTACATCAGCATCACGCATGCACAGATTCAGGCCAAATCTATTTCAAATGCTATCAATGAAAGTTCAGTCAAACCTGTTTTCATAGCCACCTGTCTATAATGGTCACCTGTCTATAACGGTCACTTGTCTATAACGGTCACCTGTCTATAACGGTCACCTGTCTTTAACGGTCACCTGTCTATAACGGTCACCTGTCTATAACGGTCACCTGTCTATAACGGTCACCTGTCTATAACGGTCACCTGTCAATAACGGTCACCTGTCTATAACGGTCACCTGTCTTTAACGGTCACCTGTCTATAACGGTCACCTGTCTATAACGGTCACCTGTCTATAACGGTCACCTGTCTATAACGGTCACCTGTCTATAACGGTCACCTGTCTATAACGGTCACCTGTCTATAACGGTCACCTGTCAATAACGGTCACCTGTCTATAACGGTCACCTGTCTTTAACGGTCACCTGTCTATAATGGTCACCTGTCTTTAACGGTCACCTGTCTATAATGGTCACCTGTCTTTAACGGTCACCTGTCAATAATGGTCACCTGGCTATAATGGTCACCTGTCTATAACGGTCACCTGTCTTTAACGGTCACCTGTCTATATTGGTCACGTGTCTTTAACGGTCACCTGTCAATAGTGGTCACCAGTCTGTAAGGGTCACCTGTCTATAACAGTCACCTGTCTATAACGGTCACCTGTCAATAATGGTCACCTGGCTATAATGGTCACCTGTCTATAACGGTCACCTGTCTTTACCGGTCACCTGTCTCTAACGGTCAGCTGTCTATAACGGTCACCTCTCTGTAATGGTCACCTGTCTAAAGTGGTCACCAGTCTGTAATGGTCACCTGTCTATAACGGTCACCTGTCTATAGTGATCATCTACATTGTCTCCCTCTAAGAAGAGGTGACATTGAATCCATCTAATAGGCCACTCATCATGCTCAAATTGAACAAATGAAGGCACAAACTTTTCTTGAAATATTGCAGATAGCCGCATGTTATTGTTAACTGCATCCAATTACAATCTTGGGGCATATAACTCCCTTTTATAAAATGGCTCTAGTATTTTAAGCATCGTGATTGGTCAATACGCGTCACATGACATGTACAAATTTTTGATGCAAGCACGATTTTGCAGACAAAAGCGCAAAAAAAGTTATATTACATGTTACCATTGATATCCAACGCGCGCGCGTACGTGTAGTACGCCCCTTTTCTGAGTGCATTGTAATGAGTGCATTAAAATGAGTGCATTGTAATTGTACGCGTAGGTAAGTATTGTACGCTCCATGATCCATCCCAGCGCAGCGCGTGTACACGTAGCTTAGCTATATAGAGTGGGCCAGGGTATTACTAGAAAGCAAATTTTTATTTTACTTTATTTTGCCGTTGACTTTGGGATTTTATAATGAAGCCAGGAATTTCAGCTGTCTGATGTTGACTCATCTCTAGACCCATATGGATTTTATTTTTACTCAAGGCAATGAATCCCGTGAAATTTTTGGTAAGCCTGCAAGGGCTTACTCTAGTCTTAGTCTAGAACCAACATAACACTGGATCTACATGTAACTCTCGTAGACTCTAACTTAATACTTAAGATCTAAACTTTTGTTTGTTTTGCATTTGTGTCGTTATTTTATAAAAACAAATAACGCACTTGACCCTGTTGTGCGAAACGTAAATGCAGTGTACGCTCGGTTTCTTCAGATGGTGCTCACTGTGAACTTGCCGCAAGCGGCTCGTTGCACAGAGTGGCACCAATCTAAAGAAACCTCGCATGTACTGCATTCACCGCTATTGCACTCTGGGCCGTGCGTTATTTGTATAATATAACGCTGACTCACTGCGTTACGTTACGTTTCACAAATTTATGACACTTCACAAACGTATGTTCTCTCAGACTCTTATCACACCCTTGATTGACTCTCATACTTGTCGCATTTAAAAAAAAGGTGTATGTACGCTTTGTACTGGCATTTGATGTACGAAAAACAGAACAAAAATAATAAAAAACAGCACCAAAGAGGATTGTATTCATCATTAGAAAAAGCAAACCAACTCATTCCATCAAGATATTTCAGAATTATTCTACAAAATAAAAAATTTCGCTCTCCTTTTGCTGCCTCACACTCCCTGACACTTACCTACAGACAAGGTGCCTTTGTTTCTACAGAAATCTATAGGGTACATCTATATCTATCTACATATCTCTACTACAACCACAACTAAATTTAAATTGCACGATCCCTCCAAAAATGCAAATTAGTAAATGGAAACTAGTCATGCAATGATTAAGGTACTGCACAGTGAATGATATTTGCGCAAGAGCTTTAATGCTTCACTCATCTACATTAGGAAGATCATACACAGAAATACTAAAATTTATAAATAGAGAGAACTAGACTAGATGGAACGTCGTGCATTCAGTATTGAATGCTTGTGTAAATAGAGTAGGAAGAATACTGTTATACTTTTGACCATAAGGCCGAGGCAAGGCATGGCAAGATAAAAAATAAAGGCCCACAAACAAGAAAGGAGTGAAAGAATGGGAGGACAAGGAAGACAAGAACAAGATAAAGAAAGAGTGAAAGGGGGATGGAGTGAGGGTGAGAAAGAAGGGTAGAGAGGGAGAAATACAGAGAATGAGAGATAGAGAAAGAGACTGAGAAAATTACGAGAGAGAGAGAGAGAGAGAGAGAGATGTAGAGAAAGCAACAAGAGGAAATTTTAGATGGCAAAAGAGAAAGCAGGAAGAATATGAGAAAGGGGCAAAGGAAGAGATACATACTTTAATCAAGAAAGGAGATATATACAAGTCATGTAGAGAATGCATGAGAGAAAGACAAACATTAAAAAAAAGACAACAGCAAACAGACAGATGCATAGAGAAAATAAGTTGATAACCACAGAGAAGGCAAACATAATCTTCAGAATGATGATGCAAAAGAGAGCTGGGCGAACAATAGAAATCAATGAATTAGAGAAAGAACAATCAGGAAAAGAAAGAAAGATGGGGAAGATGAGATAAATGCATACCTGAGGAGTCTCTGGAAGAGGGACTTGATCCATCGGAAAAATTGGAAATCAGCCACGCCCGGTTTGACGCCCGGGTTGGCCTGGCCGATATAGATGTAGATGATTAAGTACACGCACACGTTGGCAAGAGCATAGCCCCAATGAATGGCAAACATGATTGCAACAGATATTAAAGCCTGGAGGAAGAAATGAGGAAACAAAAATACTTAATTGGGTCATAATAGGCAGGGCTTAACACTAACTGACAATTTCGGTTGCCCATTTGTGCAAATAGATTTGACTAATTTTCAATTTTTTACATATACACTGCCACTAGATTATGATAAAAGACATTTGTGCATGTACAAATTTTCACAACTTTGTGATTGGCAGCCCAGACATCTTCTCAATAATTCTATTTTCCTCCCACCCTCAATTACTCTCTTATCATTTCTCTTTTTCCATATCGCTTTAATTAAAAAATTTTCTCCATGCATCTCTGTTTTCCTACCTACATGTATATCCTCTTGCTCTCCTATCTTCTATTCTACGAAAAATACAGCAAGACTATCCCTTCAATGTATCACATAAGGAAGCAAATACCAAATTTTAAGATTGCTCGACAAAGCAACTTCTTCTTTGTCTTTTAGTTGGTTGCCTGAAGAGATGTATGGTGGCCCTTGGAAACCGCTAGTGTTGAGCTTTGTCTCTGTTTACGAGACATAGATAATCTGATTTGATCATGAGGTATTATGCAGTGGTCTCTAGATTCTTGTACCTTTCCCACAGACATGACTTTATAGGGTATACCTACACCTACAAGTGAGACCCATCAGTTACAGAATCTTGAATACCAGGAAAGAGGCTACTTTCAGTATTACAAAGTTTTTACACCTCATCTTTTTACTTTTACACAGACAGGGGATACAAACATATCTCGTACTGATGAACTGTTACAGAGTAACTAGACTTTATTTTGCACCTTATATACAGCTATGATTTCATGAATACTTACACCTATAAGTGAGACCCATCTGTTACAGAATCTTGAATACCAGGAAGGGGGCATGCGAGTTATCTCTGTACTGAATGGACCTTTGGATTCTGAAGAAGAAGAAGAAGAAAACAGAAGAAAGTTCAAATCATACTGAATTGAATAATAAACTGTACTACTGGTATGTAGCTTTTAAACTGTATCAAATAATTAAAGAAACCAGTTATAATTGCAAGGTTTTATGACAGCACACTTTATCACAGAATTTCAAAAATTTTCCTTTTATTTTTTAAAGGCAGCAAAGAGTTGAATTAATTCCATCCACTAAATATTTCGAATTTCTGCTGGTGTTAATTTTGTAGTGAATTAGCAATGTGAAAATCCTGCACAATATCTGTTAATAGGCAATACAAAAATTCTGTATACAGTAGATTCTAGCTAGTACATATTCATAAACAATTATGATTTCAGATACTACATTTTACAAGTACAAGCTGAAGAAAACCGAATGAGATGACCACAAAATGACACAGTAATGAATGTTCATGGTCGAGCCATTTATACACAGAGTTTGGCCAACCCGGTTCGAGTTGGACACAATATGGCGACGACTGCTTTGTTGGAAAAGCACAAAACAAAAGAATATACGCCATGTTGAGACCCAGTGAAATCAAGTTGGTCAAACTCTGTGTATAGATGGCTCTGATTCATGATGTGTGCTTACCCCCTCTATTTTCTGAATCAATAAGTGATTCTTTATCACTAATCCCCACCACTCCTCCTCCTCCTCCTCCATACCCGTTCCCTCCGTTTTCAATCGACGCATTCTTCTCGTTATCCAGCTCCTTCTTTTCCCCCTCCACGCCAAACGCTTTCTCCGCCTTCTCGATATCCTGCTTGAACTCCGTCAGCGAATCCCTGCGGTTCGGCTCGTCATCATCGTCGGGTTCGTTGACGAGGGCGCCGTACGAGTTGCCGTCCTGTCGGTTCTTGTCGATGACGTGGGAGAGGAGGCTGTCCTTCTCCTTGCCGGGGTCGCCGCCCACCCGGTCAAAGCTCATGGCCAGGGAGAAGTAGGCGTAGTCGATGCCGGCGTAGGAGAGGAGGAAGGGCATGGTGACGATGGGACCTAGGTAGTTGACCTGGCCGATGAAGATGAAGAGGATGGCGATGAAGCAGACGAGAAGCTGGGCTATGATGGGCTCTTTATTTGGCCCTTTCTGCATGTGGATGTAATGTTGATAACAAGATATGTTAATAGTACATGTAGATGTCTTGCCAGTACATGATACAATACTTGCTGCTCATACCAAGTATGAGGACTTCAAAAAGACAAACAAATTGATGATAAATCCTCCATGACGAATAAGGTACCAACAAGTATAATAAAGTTTAGCCTGCAAAATATATTGGTCCTTGCAATCCTGGTATAGTGCAGGGCTAGTGTGAACAGCCAAAGGCATATTTAAACATGTGGGTTTAATCCACTTGTACAAAAAACAACATTGCAGTGTGCTTTATATTTGTACATTATGTAACTAACAAATCAGGGAGTATACACAGGGGTCGGTGTTGCATGAAGCTTTTTCCTTTTTCCTGACATAAAATTGCCTCTTGCCCATCACGGACAATATGATTTTTCTGTGATCCAATTACAGAAGAATTTGCAAATAGCATTTTTCTTCACATTTCAATGTATAATCTAGGTGATCATGGTTTTGAATAGTCCTGAATATAAACATCAATTTTTAAGGTACTGAAAGTCTTGTTGGGGGGGGGGGGGGGGACAAATTGCAGTGACATCTGACCTGTTTACTTTTTAAGGCCAATTTGGCCTTTACTCTGATTTTCATGTGCAATACTTTTTTAGAAGTCCTTCCTTAGCCAGAACCTTAACCATGAAAATAGATCTGCTTACATTTCTTTAAGCAAAAGACTTACCCCATGGCCCAGGACTTTAATGATGGGAATCACGTTCTCGTTGGCTATACACTGAAGGATTCTGGGTGCTCCGTAAAGCCCTCCTAAACATGATGATAGAGACGAGATGTACAGACCAAGCAGCCATAGAAATCCCACCAGTGACACCTAAAAAGCAAAATCAAAAGCAGACACTGAGATATCAAAACAATATTCTTGATTGATTGACTGATTAACAATGATTTATTTGATTTTACATGTATATTTTCTAAGGTAAGAAACCAAGGGAACCTACATCTTTAAGTCCTATCGCTGAGATTTGGTAATGAGAATTGATGCCTTACGAAAGTGCACTTGTGCAACAACTTCGTTCTAAACCTGGGACCTCCTGGCTTTGAGACATTAGGGACTTTTAGATTTGCATGTTGACATAGTGGACTGCTACGTGTGACGTCCTTTTAAGATACTTTAATGCACTGGCTGTGCCTTAATAGGACGTCACATGTAGCAGTCCACTATGTCGACGTGCAAATCTAAAAGTCCCTAATGGCTCTAGGACTGAGCAAACATGACTCCATTCTTCTTCATTTCATGTCTTAATTTCTTTTATAAATTGGCCACTAATGTTTCACTGATGTGATGCTGAGTAATTATACCCCCTCCCCTCACTATCCCAAGCCTTCACAGTTGCAGTATTACTGTGCTGCTTACCATCCAAACACTGGATAAGAAATGACACAAAGTAAAATTGTATTCATCAACTTCATTCCAATGTATTTTTCAATACCAGAATGGTATTTTGGTCTTCATGTGGAAGCAAGGGAGAATTTGTACATATTCGAAATAGAAACAACTGTTAAAGCCTCACTGTACTACTTGTAGCTATACTTGCTCCCTCTATATAGAAAACAATGCCTAAGCGGTGCCCGTTGGTCCCCCATGTTCTTCTTTTTCTTATGTTAATTGAGAGCTGATTTGATGAGATAGCCACCTGTCAGTGACCACTCTGGATGGTCTAATCCATCCTGGCCAAACTAGTATGTTATGACAGGCTTTAAAATGAAGTGGTCTCTCAGACTGTTACAGGGCCACTTGCCCTTGGACCCTCAGCCATTCTTTACTTGACGCTCAAAAATTTCCCCACTTACTGTCTCTGCTATCATGTAGTCGTCCTGAAGGGCGTCTCTCATACACGTCGCTCCTAGCAGTATGGCAAACAAGAGGTACAGGACGGTCGTCACACCAAGAGCTGAGAGGGTTCCCTTGGGGATACTCTTTTGCGCATCACGGAGGTCCCCGCTCATGTTGATGCCGGCCATCACGCCGGTGGCCGTCGGAAAGAAGACGCCAAAGACGGTGAAGAAGTTTTCGCCTTCCTTATAGTCAGCACCGGTGTTGTTATGGAAGGCTTCGCGGTTGTAACCCAGGAAACCGTTTGCTATAAAATACAAATGAGGTGGTGCAATGATGATGTGTTAGGACAAACATTACACCCTGTTCACAATACAAATAAGACATCTCATGACTTTATTACTCGCAACAAGAAAGCTTTTAATAATGGAGTGTGAGGGCACAACTGCACCAGGACGTTTTCACTGGACTTATGCTGGGGTAATAATACAACGCTTTAAACATTAGTATGAAGCGCTATATAAATGTTTTTTACTGTTATTATCATTATCATTATTATTGTTAAGAAGTGGTCTCGAGGCACAGAACAACTTCAAGAAGACTCTTACAACTAGAACAAAGATGGAAGTTCTTGGTGTTACTTAGCTTCTTGTTGATTTTTAGCTTAAGTTTACGATGGCAATCAGCCAAGTTTGACTATTCTTGCAAATTCCTTTTTTAAAATTTATTACAATTGCTGATCATATATGTTTACTTTTGTTTACCTGGAAATATTTCAAGTTTTGAGCTTTCTGCAATTTTATCTAATTTAAAAACAAATGGCAGTTTGATCAAATTTCATTGTTGATATGTTTTTTTCTTTTCTTCAAATATATGCACATGCAAAACCAAATCTCACATAGAATTCAACTCTACACAAGTCAAAAAGTGAGTTTGGGTGAAAATGCGCAACTCCTCTTCTACTGTCCACTGCACTGACCTCTACCATCAACCCCAGCATAGAGAGAGGATGGCAAGGGAAGGTACAAAGAACAATAAATAAGGTAGTTAATCTCTGATGACATAAAATCACAATCAACCATTGCTCAGGTGATGCGAGGAACGGTCATCAGTCATTCTTGATATGTTACCTGCATCTGTATGGGCTACTGTCCCAACGAGGAAGTCCAGTGTGGCCACACCCAGTATGGCCAGTAGAATGAGCTGCATTTTAATGACCCACTTGACCCCCGCGATGTTAATGGCCAGCAGAAGTAGGATGACCGCTATGCCCACGCCCCTGACCGCCCAAGCGTTCTGCCAGCCGAAGGTCTTTGCTACGGACTCGCCAAAACCTGTGCAATAGAGCGAGCAGGCAACCGTCTGAGAGAGAGAGAGAGAGAGAGAGAGAGAACATAAGACGAACAAGATAAGCATGTTGGACAGGGTTGCGGCACTGATGCCATGATTTTACAAAAAGATGACCACTATGGGAACACCCATGCCCATAGGTCTTTGCTACAGACTCGCTGAAACCAGTGCAGTTGAGCAAACAGGCTACCATCTAAAAGAAGAAAACATAAGAAGAGTTTAATGATACAGTTGAGTGAGTAGTGACACTGATACCATGAACAATAAGAAAATTGAATTGAATGCTATTGCCCAAGCCCTGACCGCCCAAGCATTAACCCAGCAAAAACCTGTGCAGCAGAGCGGGCAGGCTACCGTCTGAAATAGAGAAATATGATAAAAGTGTGATGATAAGGTTGAGTAAGTAGTGACACTGATACCATGATTGAAAAGAGAAAAAAATAGAAGATGAATCTATGCCAATACCCATGACTACAGGTGATGTCCAGGCGAAGGTATTCTCTTTGGAATAATTTACCATTTCATTTGAGAATCATAACTTCCTCAGAGACCTTTAAATCCAAGCTAAAATCTTATCTTTTCAACAATACCTGTACTTGGCAGTTGGCACTATGACACTCATCCAAACGCTCTCATTATTTCCAATTTTTCTTGTGCGCCTCGGAATAGAATTGTCTAGATAGACGTAGCTATATAAATGCCTATTATTATTATCATTCACTAAAGACTTGCTGAAGCCAGAGTGAACAAGCGACCGTTAACAAGAGCTAGATAAACATAAGAAGTAAAAGATCAATGAATTTGACTGGGTCGTGATATCGATACCATAATTTTGAGAAAAAAAGGATGATTGATATGATTAAATGGGCCGTGACACCACTATCAAGATTTACAAAGAAGATTATCATTGTGCCACACCCTTGACTATCCAAGTATACGAACAGGAAACAATAGAAGAGCAGGCTATTATACAAAAATATACATAAATAAATAAATACATATTAAAAAAAGAAATTATCATCTTTAGTTTTGGTATTAAAGCTCTAAAATAGCTCTAGAAAAAACAGAAAAGATCTCTAGTAAAAAACTAAAAAGATATTCTAATTGTTGCAAAAAAAATACATTTCCTAATGTAAATCCCCCAAGAGTCTCTGTAAATGAAAAAATATTTATAACTCATACATAATGATACAGTTGACTGGATGGTGACATCGATACCCATGATTTAGAAAAAAAGAGAGGGCTACAGTCCTCAGAGTATAATGAGTTACGCTTGATTGCCATTTCAAAGCAGAGGCAATTCTCTTGGATGCGGTCAATCAAGATTCATTTTAATTATATTACAGCTGACACCTCATGAGTGGCTAGCAAGCATGTAGTAGGAACGACGTTGTATTAGATCCTTACTTGAAGTGATTTTTTTACTTTTGGTGCAAACAAGTACTTTTTTTGTTGAAATGGTAGTTAATGATTTGGAATATTTGTGATGGTTCAGGTAGTAAAAGTATAAATAAAAAGCAAACAACGTCTTGTAACAAAATAAATGTGTCATGATCACTAACTACATGCTGACTACCATATATTTATAAAGCTAGGATAGTTTTTTGATGAATCTTTATTGTAATCGTAAAATTATGAAAATAAAAATACCAGACTAAACACATTTGTCAAGAGACTTTAAATGAGTAAAAGGGGACATAACTTTTGCACCTACAGGGGTAAATAAATGTGCTCAGTGCTGACCTGGACCAAAAGAATACCATCGAACAAACCGATTATGATTTGCACCTTACTGTGCATCTATAACAAATCAATCAATCAATCAATCAATCATGGTGCACCAACTATTATTTAAAGCCTGTCTGTACTAGCTTGGCCAAGGGGATTAGACCATCCTGCAAGGTCACTGACAGGTGGTTATCTCATCAAACCAGCTCTCAATTAACATAAGATAAAGGGGATCATGGGGGACGAACAGGAACGATTGGGCATTGTTTGCTATATAGAGGGCGCACGTAGCTATAAGTAGTGCAGTGGGGCTTTAATATGAATATTTACCTGTCCAAATGAGTAGAGGATACCCAGCGTTGCCCCCATCCTAGCCCCAAGCACATGAGACAAGAGAAAGTAGATGCCTCCGCTCTGCATCTTACACCTCTCGCATACCCCGATGGCCGCTAGCGATGAGACGAGAGCTACGGCTACGGTCATGAGGATGATCAGGATCGAGAGTCCTACTCCAGCGTTTCCCTGGTTTGGGAAAGAATGAATATGATTACCATCACTTTACTTGAATTCCACAGTGATAATACATACAACCTGCATTTATTCAAATTTATTCAAATTTATTCAAATTTCAAATTCAGTTTATAAGTGATGTTATTTATTAACAGAGGAGTTAAATAATGTGAGATTTGATAATGCATCCAATGATACATAAACATACTTGGTAGTTTGAATACAGCTTCTTTTAAATGTTCTTAGAGCTTTTTAATGTCCTGTAACTGTATTGTTTATTTATGATTTCAGACATTCAATACTCTAAATTGTTTATTTATGATTTCAGACATTCAATACTCTAAAGCCTATGAATTATAAATATTACTTTTTTGTATCAAATAATATTTTGTAACTTTTTATCAAAATCCTACATACCCAAAAAAATCTTTGAAAATAAATGAATCAGTATTAGATTTTAATGACTAATGAGTACTTGCAGAGGAACCGTTTCTTTGTCTGATATATGTATTCATGACACAGAATTCGCAGCAATGTATTAAAGTAAGCATGATTCTTATTAGCAATGCTAAAATAGATTTTCACATCAAATTCGCATAAAGTACACGTCATGACTCTGATAAATTCATTCCTTTGACTTGTTTTCCATTTAAATCAAAAGTGATATTATGTGCCTCATGCTGAAGTTTATGAAGATGTATACAATAACCTTCCTTTACAAAGTTAGTATTAGGGGCTATATTTTTTAAATGACTATGATGAATTAATTAAGGCTTGTTATTTTTTTCAGGAGATTTTATACATTGAGAATTCTGTCTACAATTCTATATTTCTTGATAGCTTAAAATGAGCCAAGATGACAACCAAAACAAATATCTTTGTACAGTTGTACTTGAACATGAAAACTAATTGCATACAGAGCGATTTAAGTGAAATATATGGCTCTGCACTTGATAAAGACATGTACGGGAGATATCCTCTATTTTTTAATCAATAACAATTTATAAATTCATATTTTTTAATGAATGCACACATGTATGTATAATCACAATCCCACAGCTAAATATATTAAACAATTTAAACTTAATGATCCTTTACATATTGTTTTTCATTGCTTATCACTGTTAGTGTATGTATGTTAATTCTTAGTAGTGTTTGTGGTGTTAGTAAAGCTTACAGTATGTCTCCATATTAGAAAACTAAATATATAATAAATACATGCTTCGTTAATCGTCATATCATGCCTAAAATACAATGAAATGAAATCAATTTTTAACTACACGTACCTGCAAAAGAAAGAAAAATGCTTGTGTTTTATTGCATTACACATTTTGTCATATTCTAAATGTTTAAATTATACTTTATTCAGTCACTTCAGTGCATGCAAAAAGATTGTTCGCACACAGAATAAACCGCATATGTGAAGCATGTGTTAGTATCATTAGTTTCCCAGGTATTATGTTGGTTTTCTAATCACCTTCTTCTCCAATAATCTACCAAATCGATAGCCACTCTGGTTAAACATGCCCTGTTCCAATTACGCCTGGCACTACAAGTCGCATGCTCAGAACCAAAAGGGCAATAACGCTGTGTACTAAAGCGCTATGATTTAATAACGCCCTTCTGGCTCTCAGCAGTATATATATGGTTATTGGTTAGTGGTGAATAAACCTTGTCATTCTGGGCTAAAAATGTATAAAGCATGCAATCTCCAAATGGTGTTTACAATGTACATACCCTTCTCTTTCCAATTCACCAAAACCAGAGACAATTTAGCTAAAACCACAAAATTTGTATCATATGATGATTAGATCTGAAAAGGATAGATTTCATTTATAGGTTGACGGATGAAAGTCATACCAGTATCAAAGAAGGGAATAAAACTGGGACGTATGCATGCTGGTAGCTTCTGCAGTTCTACATGTAACTGGTAGATTTTTCTCAAAGTGGAAATTTGATATGGGTTTTTAAAGGGTTTTTAAGATATATGAGGTGTCAAATCTCACAATGAAGTGCATCGATTTCACACCTTTAATTAAGGATGGTGTAAGAAATGACAATGTCCACATATACCTAAAAAATTGAAGAAATATAAAACTTGTAGGTCTTCAAAAAATCTGGATTTATTGTAGTTGAACGTGTCACTGTTTTCTGTCGAGCTACATGTAATACAATTATCATCGTTGTAATGAAACTTATCACCATTACTTTAATAAAAAATTATGTATCACCTTCACATTATCAATCTATCATTGCCATCGTCATTCACGTCATCACTGTTTTCATCCTCCTCCTCCATCTCCTCATCATCGTCATCATTACCATCCAAGATCTTAGCAATCAGAATCTTATCATCATCATCATCATCATCATCATCATCCTCATCATCTTCATCATCATCATCATCATCATCATCACCATCACCATCACCATCACCATCACCATCACCATCACCATCACCATCACCATCACCATCACCATCACCATCACCATCACCATCACCACCACCACCACCACCACCACCACCACCACCACCATGACCACCACCACCACCACCACCACCACCACCACCACCACCACCACCACCACCACCACCACCACCACCACCATGACCACCACCACCACCACCACCACCACCACCAACACCACCACCACCACCACCATCATCATCATCATCTGAAAGCGAACCTTCCAGCTTCTACATGTGTAGTTCATGAGATTGTCTGGTACTCTAGAATGGCAGCCATGTAAGCCGTGGCTCTTCCATCGTTCCTCTGTGCATGGTTGCCTTGCAGACAAACCAATGAACATGTCCAGCTGAGGGTCCCAATAGACCATTTTCATAATGTAACCAAATTTTGATGCATACATGTAGGCCTTTGCGAAGTGCCTTGATATGAATTCATTCACGTCTAAAAAATAACATCCAGATCCAGATACTCGAAATACGAATTGCATCCCAATAGTCAGAATGCAAATTGCATACAGTAGTTGATGCTAGGCAGGACTAAGATTATGGTTTGCCCTCCCTAACAACATGTAACATATGCAACTTGCATTCTGACCATTGGCAGACAATTTATCAGGTAAATAAAAGAATTTGTATCAATATCAAGGCACTTCACAAAGAATTTAAATTTGGTTACATTTAATACAAAAATGGCCTACTGGTATTAATGCTTTTAAGGTCCAGATCCCTGTTCAAATTGTGAAAGTTTTGGGGTTCAGAATTCAAATTGGAAGGGGGAGGGGCATGTGTGCAGGACTGCAGTACTCCTGGGCCCCGTCTTGCAAAGAGTTGCGATTGAAGTGCTCCAAGCAATCGTCAGTCCTTCAATCAATCGCAAGTTTGCAGTCTCCTATCTCTCTTATGTACATAGTTGCGATTGATATTAATTGCAAATAAGTTGCGATTGATATCAACTCTTTGTAAGACGGGCCCCTGGTTCTCTCAAAAAAATCTTACCACCATCCAGCCTGTCCGGAGGAAGATGACCACACCAAAGATGTTGATCATACAGGAGGTGAAGACTCCATCCCATGTTCCAAAGAGGACAGGTTCCCTCACAAAGAAGTTTGCTTTCCACCAAGGCGTCTGGCTGTGACTGCTCTGACCCGCCTGGGATAGGAAACGAGAGAAAATAGGAAGGAGATTGAAGAATGGAGTTAAATAAAAGGAGATAAATAAAAGGAGATATATAGTGTAAAAGTAGATATATAAAAGGAGATAAATAAAAGGAGATATATAGTGTAAAAGAAGATAAATAAAAAGAGATATATAGTGTAAAAGGAGATATATAAAAGGAGATAAATAAAAGGAGATATATACAGCGTGTCCACACACAAAACAATTTATCCCGAAACTCTATAACGAAACGTCGTATAAAGAATCATAGTATACATTTCAAAGTGTCCACACACAAGAAATGTCATATAAATAATCATCTTATAAATTCAAGGATGTCCATAAACAGAAGAAAGTAATCCTGAAACTCTACAGTCTGGTCTCCTTTCGCTCGAGGTCACGTTAAGCCCCGCCCAGTTAGTTACACTAGTTACACTCCCCCTGTCCACACACAACACATTCGTGATTAGGCGTGATTCTTTATTGAGTTTCAGTTCGAAACGATGCCCAAACCTGCATTTCGTTAGACTAGTTTCGTTATACGACGTATCGTTAGTGAGCGTCCACACACAAAATTTCATCGTAAAACTATCGTGAAACGGTATCACTATAGCGAAACGGTATAGCTAATCACGGAAAATGTTGTGTGTGGACAGGGGGATAGTGTAAAAGGAGATATATAAAAGGAGATAAATAAAAGGAGATAAATAAAAGGAGATAAATAAAAGGAGATAAATAAAAGGAGATAAATAAAAGGAGATAAATAAAAGGAGATAAATAAAAGGAGATAAATAAAAGGACAAAAATAAAAGTAAATATATAAAAGGAGATATATAAAAAGAGATTGAAGAATGGAGTTTAATATAGAGAGATTAGAGACATTGGAATTAGACATGGATTTGCATTATTGTATACATGTGGGATGCAAAAGACAACAGAGTGAGGTAGTTGGAGTAAATGTAGATGAAGGAAGAGAGAAAGAGAGAGAAAGAGAAGAAGAGAGGAGAGAGAGAGAGGGGAGGAGAGAGAGAGGGGAGGAGGGGGAGGGAGGGGAGGAGGGGAGGAAAGGAGGGAGGGATGGAGGGAGGGAGGGAAGGAGAGAGGGAAGGAGGGAGAGAGAGAAAGAGAGAGAGAGAGAGAAAGATGGAGGGATAAGAGATGGGGAGCAAGTAAATGAAGTAAAAGAAAATACAGGAATGGATAGGGAGTGGAAGAATGAAAATGTGCACAAAGGTGAACGCCAACAAAAGTGTTTTTAATTATATTACAATGAATTAATAATTGACTCGTACTGAAGAATTTTTTCCTATCAATCATACGTAATGAATAGGTAATCTCAAATGGCAAAGGTAATGAAAAAAAGTCTTCAGTAACAAATTCATCAATACTGAAATCTATAAAAATCCAAGTAAATATTTTATAGGGGAGATAGAAAGAGAGAAATAGAATTTCAATATTTCATCAAAATTATATCAACTGATCACTCCGAAACACTGGGCTATGTTCCCAACAACACAGAGTTATACATTACAGTCCCACACCTCTCAAGCTGTTTGACTTTGACAATGTACGTCATCATAATACATGTAGATTGTAGAGGTGTAATGTTGAATGAAGCTGAACAAACAACAATCTCTGACAGACAATTACCTCGATGCATAGATTGTCAGCTTTGCACGATTACTGCAGATGACAAAAACAATATGGCTCTTTCCAGGGAAAGTAGGCATACGTATTTTACATTGTGTACCTGTATGAATTAGTACCGTAATTAACATTGATTAAACCGCCCTCGTGTATTAACCGCACCCCTCTATTTCGCCCTTTAAAAAAAAAAATAAATAAATAAAAAATTGGGGGTTAGTGTAAAATCATTACCGGTAATGTAAATTGAAAAACAGTAGGGGACCTAGGATAGAATCTTGTGGTTCACCATGTAATAGAAGAAAAATTTGAGGAATTATTATTACAAACTACATATTGAGATCTATCAGAAAGATTACTTTCAAACCAAGATGACAGACAAATTTGAGTGTTGTAACTTTTTTCCGAGTGGTGAGTCAACACACCGATTACCGAGCTGGGAGACATTTTTTTTTTTTTTGGTGTACCGTGTATAAACCGCACCCCCGACTTTGAATTTTTTTCGGCGGCAACAATGTGCGGTTTATACACCGTTAATTACGGTATGTAGATACGTATGCGTAGGCTACATTACATCGTTGTTCTGTTATTTTTTAAAACTTGTTTACTATTGTTTTATACTGATTTTAACAACTGAATAATAATGTATGTGAGACAAGTTTTAAAGCCCCTACCAGGGATTTGCAAGCCCTCAAGTTTAAGAAATTATGTGCAAAATTTCAGATTAAAAAAAAGACTCTTTGGTTTTCTCTGTAATGATTAAAATATTTAAGCCCTCGCTAATTTTGTACACAATGAATGGGGAAAAATGTACACTGCCAATTGCAAAATTCAAATTTGAAAAGAGAAATGACTGTAATTTTGCTAATAAAGAATATTTTGCCATCATATTTTTAAGAAAGTTTTCAATTGTGATTTTAAAAAACATTTTGGCCATTTTACAAGTTTTGAGATGGTCACTAATCCCAGCAACGCCCATTAAATATATTTGTAGGGATCTGTGGGAAGATCATTATTAGCCTGAAAATGTGACCCGTATTTGGAGTGATAAAAGAAATGTCTGTTTAGAGCCAGAAGGACAATAACTCATTATTTTATACACGATCAATGCCCTTTTTGCTCTAAACAGACACAAAACACTGATAATGTACATGATCATGCACACAAACGTACTGCAGTGGAAATGTATAGGCCTACATTTACCATGTTTCTAAGCTATAAATGTCAAGAAATTCAGTCTCATACATGGAACTGTATGAAATTATAAATTTTGTGTTAGAGATCCAATGCATTTGACTATTCATTTTTCATCCCATTTTAACCATAATATTCTTCCTTTCACAATTATTTCCCAAATGCGACAAAAACTTGCATTACAAGAAGAACATACTTGTATAAACTACAATGTGTCTTTCATGTGGCATTGCATGCACTATAAGCACCTTATCTACATTGCTATCTTGTCAGCAGTAACAATAGAACTTGATACTACTGAAGGGCATGTATCCATATTGTGCGCATAATTTATGTAATCTCGGTAGATCAATGATAATCAATGCACGTTAGCTAGTCAACGCATCTCAGTAATCCTTCACAAATGGATATCTTGGGTAATGACATAGGGTAGGTAGGTTAGATCCCTGCCTACATGTGCGCCATATGCTCGGTTGTAAAGTGTAATGAATGGCCCAACACTCGTACACTATTGTGTGAAATGTATTGATTGAACCAGACTCGCGTACATGCACATGTACTGCACTGCACAGAGCCTAAGCCTAGGGTATTTATTCATTCATTCATTATCTACAATACATGTAGGAATATGTACAATGTAATGCATTGAGTATTCCACATTTATAATAAAGTTTACAAGCTAAAACTTAAAGGGGAGTTACATGTATCCTTTGATAGAAATAGTTGCTCTGAAGTGTTCATCTTCTTCATCTGTAATGACCAAAAAGAAATTCATTTGTATACAGCATATAAAAACTTGTAGAAATACATCATCCATATGTATACGTACATCATTAAATGACGGTCCATATTCTACATTCCTTAGACTAGTAATTAGAAAATACTCCATTAATAATGCGAAAAGACTTTGAAATTCCCCACATCATTATTGATCTCAAATTTGGAGGAAAAAAAAATTGAGCCTACTTTTTCTTGTTTTCATTCACTGTTTCCTCTTGATTTCTTCGCATCCACTCAGGCTAACTTTCTATTCAGTAATTTCAGTTGTAGCATTTATTTCCCTTCAAATAGATTGGTTTCATATTTCTAGAACAGTACCATTAACACAGCCAAGTGGATAAAATATCAGAATTTGCATTATAAAGTTCTAAGTGTTTGCATAAAGGATGACAAAATATGTGTCACATTCACAATAGACCCTGAATATAAAAACTGGCAGTATATGAACTAAAGTTCAGTATAATCACCATTTATTTATTATGTAAATATGTATTATTGATATCATAATCAATCATTTGTTATCAGATCTGCGAGAGGAGTGTACACATACTATGTAGATGTGCAAAATAGTGTCAAAATTTATATGCCAAGTACTCTGATATTCAAGCACAAGTACAGGTACATGTATAGATAATATAATACCTATCTTTATGCAAAGAAAAAGATGTCATGTACACACATGCACCTGTATGTATTAGTACCTAACAGTATGACTGAAAAGCCAAACTACATATACAATTTAAAATAACCTATAAAATGTACATTGCCTTATAATATGAAATGTTTATTTGATCTTATTTATCTTGATTCCATAAACTGACACCTGTCAAGAATAATGCATCCACGTGATGCACATACATATAAAATACCAGCAGTTCTAACTTCATTTTCGATTACCATATCATTGTTTGATGTGGCAATGTGTTTCAAAACAATGTGGTTTTTCACAATAATCTACTTCTGTTTTAAAAGAGAATATGAATCAAATCAAAGGCTGGTAAACTCATAGTGTTGTGGTTGAATTCAAGTATATTTGTTGAATAATATACAGTGTAGATGTTAAGGTATTATCAGGTAAAATACCAGCAGTTCTAACTTCTCTTTAGATTACCATGTCATTGTTTGGTGTGGCAATGTGTTTCAAAACAATGTAGTTTTCACAATATTCTACTTTTGTTCAGAGAATATGAATCAAAAGCTGGTAAACTCATAGTATTGTGGTTGAATTCAATATATTTGTTGAATAATATACAGTGTAGATCTGTAAAGGTTATCACTCCTTAAATGTTTTTCTTATAGGCCTACAGTAGGGGAATTTCGGTTTCAGTCTTGACAGTAAAAGCTATTACTAATTTAACATCAAGAAATGTTAATTT